TTCTCCTCCTGCCTTCAATCTTTCCCAGCATCAGGGTCTTTTCAAATGAGTCAGTTCTTCACATCAGGTGGCCAAAGTATTAGAGTTTCAGCTTCAACATCAGTCCTTCCAGTGAACACTCAGGACTGATCTCACTGGCTGGATCTCCTTGCAGCCCAAGGAACTCTCAAGAGCCTTCTCCAACACCACAGTTCAAAAGCATCAATTCTTCAGCACTTAGCTTTCTTTATAGTCCAACTCTCAAATCCATACATGACTATTGGAAAAACCATAGCCTTGACTAGATGGACCTTTGTTGACAAAGTAATGTCTCTGCTTTTTAATATGCTGTCTAGGTTGATCATAACTTTGCTTCCAAGTAGTAAGCGTCTTTTAATTTCATGGCTGCAATCACCATCTGCAGTGAGTTTGGAGCTCCAAAATATAAAGTCTGTCACTGTTTCCACTGTTTCCCCATCTATCTGCCATGAAGTGATGGGACCAGATGCCGTNACCATAGTGATTATCTGGGTCATGAAGACCTTTTTTGTACAGTTCTTCTGTGTATTCTTGCCACCTCTTCTTAATATCTTCTGCTTGTTAGGTCCATACCATTTCTGCCCTTTATTGTGCCCATCTTTGCATGAAATGTTCCCTTGGTATCTCTAAGTTTCTTGAAAATATCTTCTGCTTCTGTTAGGTCCATACCATTTCTGTCTTTTATTGAGCCCATCTTTGCATGAAATGTTCCCTTGGTATCTCTAAGTTTCTTGAAGAGATCTTATCATCAGCACCCTATACCCAATAATCCATCTTTCCTCTTCATATTTGAAGTGCCACCTTTATCAGATGTTAAATGCCTATATATACTTGGGACTATTTCTGTTCAATTAATTTGTTTATCCATATGATAGTATCACACAGTTTCATTATTATAACTTTATACTATAATATTTGTTAGAAAAAACACCTGGGAAGGTTGGTTACCTTTATTACTCTTTTCTGAAATTTTCTTAGCTATTTTTAAAAAAAATTTTTTTTTCTCTTAGCTCTTTTTATCATGAGTTTTCTAGTTGTTTTTCTAGTTTCCCCTGAAACTTAAATTATATATATTTTAAAATAATATTAAATATATAAATTTAGGATAAATTGACATCTTTATGATATTGAGTTTTCCTATTCAAGAATTTTGTGTGATTTTCCCATTCGTTCAAGTCTTTGGTGAGCCTTTGGAGACTTTCTAGATTTATATAGAATTTGCCCAATTATTTTTAAATTTAAGCTGAAATGTTTTGTCATTTTATTATCATTGGGAGTTTTCCAAATTCCTTTTTCAGGAAATGATCTTGCCATCACTTCAGTGGGTCCTTTAGCCTCTAGGATTAAATCTGAACTTCTTAGCTTTTCCTTCAAAGCTTTCCACATCCGATTTAAAACCTGTTTTCCACGTATTTTCTTGTTACCTGCAGCTAGTCAGCAACTCTTGAACAAGCACCACCCTTTTATGTATCCCATGGCACGGGTCCCCTCCTTCCTCCTCAGCCTGTGCAAGATGGTTTTCTTCATGAGCCCCTTCTTAAATGATCCAATTAGAAATGACCTCTCTCCTCTTTGATCCTTGACCATTTATTCTATGTGCCTTTTATCTGATAATAATCCAATATTACCTTGTGACAGCTTTTGTATTATTAAAATGAACTGCCCTTTATCTCTTGGGTGGCTATAAAACTATTAGCGGGTCTTTGCCTTGTTTCCTCAACTAGATTGCGAGGCCTTTGGGGAGACTGAGCCTGTCTCATGCTTCTTGCAGCATCTGGGCCCTGCAGGCAGTGATGATAGTAGCATCAATGATGACAATGATAGTTCACATTTACCGCAAACTTTCTATGCGCCAGGTAGATTTTCAGCACTTTCCGTGTATGAACTCATTAGCAGGTAGAATACTTGAGTTGTGTTGGGTTTATTTGACCTCAAACTAAACCTTTGAAGGGGAATGTAAAAGAAAGATCAGCTGGTCTCAATACCCAGACAGTGATTCTAGCTTGCTGGGCAGAAAGGAAGGGGAATTTTCTAGAGAAGAAGAAGGATGGCCAGAGTTAAGGAAGGGAGGGGAGAGGAATAGGCAGGAATGGAGGCCCTGAGTTTGATGGTTGTGGAGATGAGTATTTTCTGAGGTTCTGGTGGTTTCAAGTCAGGCCATGTGTTGAACTTGCCCCTTGCCTTATACTGGCAGAGTTAGGGCCCTAGAAATAAGATCTGGCCCATGGCAGGGCCTTGCTGAGGCCTCTTTTCCACAGTGGTTCCCTGCAGATGGCCTGGGTCCCCTGGGGACAGCAGTCCCAATGCTTGACTGTCTTCCTCATCTGTCCACACCCCAGGGTTCCCAGCCCAGCTTGTTCTGCTCGTCTGCGCCCCCCTCCTGCCCTCAGACAGCTTTGCTGAGCACCTGATGGGAGTGAGCGTGGAGCATGTTGATGAGAATTGGCCAGGGCTACAAGCTGATGGAAATCCTCCCCACCTTGGGGCCTGCCTCTTCTCAACAGTCATGAGCCTCTTGGAATATTTCCCCCATCTCAACACTACAGACGGTTTCAGGGTGCTCAGTGTCCTAGGCAATTGCACCCCAGCCTTCAAGTAAAAGGCAGCCAGGAGGCTGCCTGCCTGAGCTCTAAACCTGCAGCTCCAGCATCTAGGGACCCCATATGCATTATTTGTTGAGAACTGGAGAGCTCCAAGGGTGATTTACATCTGCACTGACCCACATGCCAGGTAGGCAGCCTAGAATCAAATTCCATGTCCCAGCTAGAAGCTCTTCCTTACACTTTGCTGAGCACAAGTAAACAGGTCTCAACACCCACATAATGAACTCTTTTGATTCTTAAAGACAAGAAAAGATGAAGGAAAGAAAGGACTTTGACTTTTTGAGACAGTTACCTTTTAAGGGACAAAAAATCCCAGCCCCTTGGACAAACCCTCCACAACAACTGGAAGGGTTAGCCTCTTATGGAGCCGGTCTGATCTCTAGGGAATGCATCATGGCGTGGGGCTGAGGCTGGCTCTGTTGAATCTAAACATGTTCCAACTTAAATTCAATTGCTTTCCTTCCAATGTATCATCAAAAGTTTAGTTGCATTTTGCTGAAGCAGACCTTGAAATCAGGGAAGGGTCCAGTAGAATAAGGGGATTTTTCCCCCTGGAACTTTACCCAGAGGCCCAGAACGAATAAGCCACATTTGAACTTCATATTTATTATGGTGGATTTGTATAATCAGTTGTAGTGTTTTTCCTCTTCTTAAAAGTCTTATTTAGATGGCGTCCATAGAATTCTTTACACATGACTCCAGAGCTTATCATATTTATAATCAAGTTGTCTGCGCCAAGGAGGGGACTCTTTCCTGTCCTTGAATGCCCCACCTCCACTCGGAGCCTGGCACCTAATGACTGTACAGTGAGCAATTGCTGAATGAATGAATAAGCGAATAAAGGGTCTGAGTTGCTAACACCAAAATAGCCACGAAGTGGAAAGGAATTGGATGCTGTGAGCCTCAGGAACCGCCAGGAGTATCCCCTCGAGGCCATGCTGGCCGGGCTCCTCTTGTTGTTAAGTCAGATATTTAATCATTGAAGAAGCCAGCCCTTCCATGGTTTGGGCTCAGCTGAGCCGACATTTAGCCTGCTTTCACAGCGCTGACATTTCCTCCTGGCTGGACTGCTCGGAGTCTGCCCTGTCTGTGACCAACCTAAGCACACTCTCTCCGGGGACCCTCCATGACCCAGCCATGCTTCCAGGTCAGCTCCCACCTGGAACCCTCAGCCACTATGCCCAGAAGCAGTTTGCCAAAGGCTGTTCACTAAACTGCTTTCCTTGTTTCTATCTTTTCTGCTCCTCTTCTCTCTCTCTTTTACCCTGTCCCCCGTTCTTTTTGAAGTCCCAGTCCCTGTCTTCTCTCCAGCATCTCAATCAAGCTTCCCAGCCCTAACCAGACAGATCCCAACATTTATTTTACAGTAACTGTTTTAACGGAAGTACTAAGAGGTACCCACCTGAACTGGCAAAGCCTGGGCCAGCAGCCTGGTTTGGACTGAGGCTCATTCAGGCCGAGGGTGTCAGCTTCCCAGGTCTAAAGATGGAAAATCATGCCTGCCATTCTGGAGGCAAGAAAGAGAACTTAGTGCACAGCCTCCAGCCCAAGCCCCACGTGGATCGCATTTTCCACCTGGTCTCATCGTCTCCATGTTCTTCCTTCTCCTCTACATACCAGCAGCTCCTTGAGGGCAGGCAGTGTGTTTTGCTTTTATGTATCAGGAGCCCTGGCATAGGAGCTGGCTAAACCTCCATGCAGCCAGCTACAGTACAGCTCTGGGGACCTACTGTGGGCCAGGCTCCAGGCTTTGGGGATATAGAGATGAACAAGACAGACAATTTTGCTGGACTCAAGGAGTCTGCAATCTTGCAGGAAAGGCAGACTTTCAACTAACCCAAGTACGAGGAGAGAGAAATGAGCAATGTAGATGTAGGGTTCAGGGCACACCAGGTGAGACCCAACCTAGGGGTCACAAAAGCTTCCCGGAGAAGCACTGTTTCCGCTAACTCTTAAAGGATGACTAGTTAGGTGCAATGGATGGGATGAGGTTAGAGGGGCAGAGAGAAAGCCTTCTAGACAGAGAGTGTTGGATGAGTGAACCTGACATTGAAATCTGAGCTCGCTGACCCAGGGGTACAGAGCATTCTGATGGGCACAAGCAAGCAGGTGACTAGATTCGGGGCACCTTGATACCATGGTGCTGGAAGTTACCTTTAGACATGGCACATGGACCTCTGTCACCGAAAGGCTGCACTCTGGTCACCAATGCCTCCCAGAGGGGGATAGAACAGATGGGATAGAATAAATATACCCATCTCCTCTGCCAGGGATGGGGCAATTCTGGGTTAAGGTGAAAAACCCTCTGGTCCCGTATCGCATGGCAAATGGACTCTGCCAATCTCAGGCACCTCACCCAAGGCTCTTCTCCCAACCCAGATGAGCGGGAAGTTGTTCAGAAGAAGACCTTCACAAAATGGGTGAACTCACACCTGGCGCGCGTGTCCTGCCGCATCACCGACCTCTACAAGGACCTGCGGGACGGGCGGATGCTCATCAAGCTGCTGGAGGTGCTCTCCGGAGAGATGCTGGTAAAGCCCCTCCCCTGGGCCCTGTGGCTGGTCCTGGGTCCCCTCTGCAGCAGAGACACTATCTCGGGCCTCTCCACTTCTCACAACCTGCAATAGTGATGCAATGTATCCGTGTGACTGATTGGTTCTCTAAACTTATTCATCTAAAAGTGTGCTGTGCTTAGTCACTTAGTCATGTCCACCTCTTTGCAGCCCTAAAGACTGTAGCCCGCCAGGCTCCTCTGTCCATGGAATTTCCCAGGCAACAATACTGGAATGGGTTGCCATTTCCTTCTCCAGGGGATCTTCCCAACCCAGGGATCAAACCCACATCTCTTGTGTCCCTTGGATTGGCAGGCAGATTCTTTACCACTAGCCCCACCTATATATCCCAACATAAATGCAATGACTTTCCATCCAATACATCAATCAAAACTTTAGTTAATTTTGCTGAAGTGTCTCAGAATTTCTTGCTTTTTTCTGGCCACGCCCACCTCCTTCATATTCCTTCAGAAAAAGAGCCCTTGACTTTCTTCTCTTGGGATCTGGTTATTTTTGTCTGGCCTGCAGTGTTCTTACCTTCAGCCTCCTAGCAAAGGCTAAGACAGATGCCATTACCCAGCTGAAGAATTTGCATCCTTCGTGGAACCAGGAGGAAAGAATGGAAGAGATCTTCCTTTGTGTCCATCACTCTTAAAAGTGGAGATTTAATTCGGGCCCTCTCAGTTGTAACTCACCCAGCAGCAATGTTGCCCCTGCAGGAGAACCAGGTCAGGGCTCATGTTTTGTTTAGTCACTTCCACTGTGACCTTGGACCTACCAGGCAGGACCTTCTTTGTCTCATTTCTCCCCCATGTAAAATGATACCTGTGCCTGATGATGTAGGCTAAGATCCTTGGGGTTTGAGTGAAAGATTCCATCTTCTTCTGTTGCCTTTTCAACTCCAGGCTGAAGTTAAAGAATGCCTCTTACCCTTCACTGAAGGCCCACTAGAGAGTTAGCACTAAGAACCCTTCAGATGATGCAGTTACTCAGCAGTGGTGGTCCCTTGAGCTTCACTTGGGGCCATTCAAGGGTGAGGAGGGAGGAGGTCGGATGGCAGGATGAACCCATTATTAGTCACCAAACTGAAAGCCGCTCTTATCACCAATCAGCAGTAAATAGTTCCTAGAAGTGTGCCTGGCACATAGTAAGTGCTCAGTTAACTCCCTGTTGTGTTATTTATCTGAATGTCATCTATTACCACTCACAAAGCTCTGTTTAGACTGAGGAACAGTACTGGTACAGCTCACTTGCAGAGCTCTGGGTGCTCAAAGAGGGAACCCCTGAACTTTGCTGAAAGGAGGAGGTTGAAACGTGGAAGTGGAGTTTGGCATGAAGGGTGGATGCTGATGACAGGAGCTGGTCCAGGCGTGACCGTGAGGTTCTTCCCTGCCTGTGGGGGCAATGTTATCCCTCAGCCAAAGCCCACGAAGGGGAAGATGCGCATCCACTGCCTGGAGAATGTGGACAAGGCCCTGCAGTTCCTGAGGGAGCAGCGCGTGCACCTGGAGAACATGGGCTCCCACGACATCGTGGATGGCAACCACCGCCTGGTCCTCGGCCTCATCTGGACCATCATCCTGCGCTTCCAGGTGGGTCCCCGGGACCTAAGAAGATGGTGAATGAGTGTGAGTGTTCATGCATGTGTACCCCGGGACAGTGCTTGTAGGACGGAGAGACCATCCTGAGCATCACCAACTTGCTGAAGCTGAGCGCGAGCAGCCCAGCCAGTGTCGTGGTCTTTTGAGAGAGAAGCTAGAAACTGGGAGCTGGACTCAGATCTGGTTGCTTTCGCCAGATCTGCTTTTGCCCCCTTCCCCCTACATGGGTAACTCTTTGGTTTTCTAAATAGTTTGATTCAAAAATTGCAAAGACAGTGCAGAAGGTCTGCTGCTGTGTTTTCCAGTCAGAAGCTTTTCCCTTCCCACCTTGAAAGTCCACGTCTGTTATGTAAGGAAATTTAGGAAGCCCAAGGGAGGGAAAGCAGGGTCTTCCACCTGCTGGTTTGGGGCAGAAAGAACCTAGTTGGAGGAGGGAAGGGCCGGGAGGAGAAAAATAACACTCAACTCCCATCCTGAGGATCTCCTGCAAGTGGTCTCGGGTGTCCAGCCTCGCTCACTGCAGGTGTCTATGATGAAATGGTAACAACAGCAGAACCAGGGAGGATGAAAAGGCAAAAGGAGCCACTAATCCAGATGCAACACCTTCCAGCAGTCATGCCGTCCACGGCCCTCACAGCGTCGTGCCTCCTGGGGAGGAATGAGGCCATCGTGCATTTATTCTCGGCCTCCCCTTTGAGTTTCTGATTGGAGCCATCTCCTCTGACCTGGGGAGTGCAGCAGGGTAGCAGGCCTCTGGGACCGTAGGCCTCAGCCTGTGGTGAGGCTGCAGGGCTGGGAACCAGAGGAGGAAAGAGGGAGGGGGTTCTTCCAGGGAGAGCTCTGGGCCAGATTCAAATCTCAGTCTCCCTTCTCTTGTTCCCATGCCCCCAGATTCAGGACATCGTCGTCCAAACTCAGGAAGGTCGTGAGACGCGCTCGGCCAAGGATGCCTTGCTCTTGTGGTGTCAGATGAAGACGGCAGGGTATGCCCTGGGGAACAGCTGCTACCATGTTCCCACCACCCTCTTCACCCCACACCCACATATTACCCAGTGTAGCAGCTTGGACATATTCAATGCAAAGTCTATCCCGACCTGATTCTTAGAGGCCCGGAATATAGGATTCTATCCCAAAGTTGCCTGGGTCAGACCATGGGGTCTGGGGGTGGGGGGTGGTGGTGAGTGTCTCTTGGGCCCATCTGATGGGGGAGCCTCTCTGTGGGACTTAACAGCTGCTGCCTTGTTGAAGCCGTTCGAGAAGGGTCAGGTCCTCCCCTCCACTTCACTCACTTGTAGGGACCTCTAGAGAATCTGTTTCTTAGGTCTTAATGTTCCTCTTGGATGCAGCTACCCCCACGTCAATGTCATCAACTTCACCTCCAGCTGGAAGGATGGCCTGGCCTTTAACGCCCTGATCCATAAGCACCGGTAGGAAGGGGGGTGGGCTGCGGGAGCCCGTGAACCCTGGAGGGAGTGGGGTTTGGATACTTTGCACTTAGCATGTAGGTGACTGTCCAAGCTCCACAGGCACGTTAAACCCACTGTGCCTGCTCCTCTCACCCTCAGCATCCTGCCTCCCTTAAATCCTCCTTCCCCACACGCTGGTGCTCACCACTCCCTCCTCCAGCCCATGTCCTCTTCTCAGTCCTCTGGCCCAGCCACTTCCTTGCCCTGCTAGTGGGGGACACCATGCCCCCTGCCCTCTAACAGTCTGGCTTCATCCCCAGGCCCGACCTGATCGACTTCGATAAGCTGAAGGACTCCAACGCCCGGCACAACCTGGAACACGCCTTCGAAGTGGCCGAGCGTCAGCTGGGCATCATCCCGCTTCTCGACCCTGAAGGTGAGCTGGCGCCCACCAGGCGGGCAGGGCACCCGGAGGCGTGTGGTGGTGTTGGGCAAGCCATGGACACAATGTGGGCCTGGGGGCCGGACCAGGGCTCTGTTCCGTCTGCTCTTCAGCTCCAGACTGGCTCCGATGCCTCCCCTGCCCACTCAGGAGCCATTGTAGTCTTGCCCACCTTGTCCCTTCTTCCTTGTTTTGTGGTCGTAATGTGGATTTCATCCTCTGGCTTCAACCGCAGCCCATTCCTCTTCCACTCTCACCTGTCACTCAGTACGTGTAGTTGAACTTTGTGCTGGAGACACAGGGAGATGAACCCCTTGAGCCTGACATTTCCAGCTTCTAACTGGTCCTGAGAGCCCACACTTTCCCCTTGCAGATGTCTTCACAGAAAACCCTGATGAGAAATCCATCATTACCTATGTGGTGGCGTTTTACCACTACTTTTCCAAGATGAAGGTGCTGGCGGTGGAGGGCAAACGAGTCGGTAAGGTATGGAGCTTCTGTGAAACCAGGGCCCCCGGATCCCTGCTCACTGTGCAAAGGCCTTGACAGACACTCCCTTTCTCTCCTAAGAGCTTTATGTCTGGACCCCAGCCATAGAAAAGGGCTCACATCACTCCCACCAACCTCCTCTGAAGCCAAGCATCGCCACATTAATGGCTCCCAAGCTGAATTCCAGCACAGGTTGATAATCTGTCCTCAATGAGGTCATAACTTCCTCCTGCAGACCTATATCTCATGAACATTCCCTCAGGAACAAAACGGGCTTTTACTTGTTAGTCTATTGTGGTGTCATATCTCTCAGGCTCCCATAGCCTACCCGGGAGCCACACCATTCTACAGACCCTCATGCTGGGTCCTCAGCCCCTCCAGGGTACGGACCATTTCTCATTCATCTTTGTGCACTGGTGTTGAGCAAAGGCAGTGCCTAGAAGCCTTCCATCCTTGTTGTTCAGTCACTCAGTCACACTCAACTCTGCAACCATGGACTGCAGCATGCCAGGTCTCCCCCGTCCCTCACCATCTCCCGGAGCTTGCTCAAACTCCTGTCCATAGAGTCAGTGATGCCATCCAACCATCTCATCCTCTGTTGCCCCCTTCTCCTCATGCCCTCAATCTTTCCCAGCATCAGGGTCTTTTCCAATGACCTTGATCCTTAATACCCATTTTTAAACAAACAGGACTTTGGCTCCTCTGGTGACTGATGTCCTGGGACAGTGAGCTTTCCAGTCTTTTACAGGATGCAGGAGGGGGGAGCTGCTCCTGATCCCAAACACACCAGGTCCCTCCTGCACCTCCTATCCAGCCCTCTACTCAGCAGTGATCTTGGGCTCTGGGGACAAAGCCAACATAAACACTCTAGGGATTTCGAGGAGGAGGACCACCTCGACTGTGGTCCCCGTTGGCGTCCTCACTGACATCCTCACCCTTCTCATGAGGATGAGTCACAAGGTGATTCCCTAGGTAATTGACCACGCCATTGAGACCGAGAAGATGATTGAGAAGTACAGTGGGCTGGCCTCAGACCTGCTCACCTGGATTGAGCAGACCATCACTGTCCTGAATAGCCGCAAGTTCGCCAACTCCCTGGCCGGTGTCCAGCAGCAGCTTCAGGCCTTCAGCACCTACCGCACCATCGAGAAGCCACCCAAGTAAGGGCCCGAGCACCCGGGAGGGTGGGCATCAACTGCTGAGAAATGACCTCCCAAAGGTGGGAGGGCCTGGAGAAGGGATCCGGGAGGCATATTCTGGAGGTTAGAGAGCTGCCTGCCTGTCACCTGCTTTATCCCGTCTTGTCTCCCTGCTCCCAAGCTGTCAGCCTGCAGGAAATGGGTATTGAGTAACCCCTGACTCATAGCCAAGGGAAGTACTTTCTCAGATCTAGATCCCTGAATGGGGAGCAGGAGTGAAATCTCAGGCTTCAGAGTCTCTTCAAAGAGCCTGTGCTGGAGACTTCCCCTTCCCTGCACGGCGAGCTGCGAGTTTGTTCTCTGGTAACGACCTCTGCATCTGCAGCCCCAGAGCTCGCCACGTGCAGCCTCCTTGATCATCAGACACATCCTTCTTCTTCTCTCCCGTCTGTCACTGCTCATCCATCAGCAGAGCACTTAACCTGCCTCTCGGGACTTCTGCTCCACTGCGGTGTGTGCAGGGCCTGTATGCACATATGCACATGCAAATACAGCCATGCATGTGCACACACATGCACACGTACACACACGGCATTCTAGCTCGCCTGCCCTCAGCTTGTCCAGCTCCCCTGAAGCGGATCTCTAGCTCATCGGTGGTACCTGTGCTTTGCTTCTCCCCTGCTCATTCATTCATGACTTGCTAACAGGGAAAGGCCAGATGCGGAGTCTAGAATGTACTATAAATAAATGTCTGATTTCTGGCATGACACTAACCATGTTTAAAGTCCTAAATCCAATCCAAGTAATATCTCCCGTGAGTCTACCAGGCACTGCACCCAGGGGTGGTATCTCTTGGCTGCGTGAGACAGTGCTTGAGGTCACAGCCTCCTTGACGTGCCTATGAGCAGCAGGTATATGGGCTGGCCTCGGGCTGGCCTGGGGACCTTGCTTACCATCTGATCTGCAGCTGCCACAAGGAGGAGGAAAAAGTGGGTAGATACTTGGCCACTTGCAGAAATGGGAAAATACTCAGTTACCTGGAGCTCATCTGGACACTGGGTTCCAGACATCCATCCTGCTGCCATCCTCCCCTCCCCCTGAGATCCTCCCAGAGCCCAGCCTTTCCTCCCCCCTCAGAAGCATATGGACTTTTGGACAGTTGTCAGGACAGCCGACTCATTAGTACTCAGGTGAAAGTTGCTTTCTGTGCAATATGTTCTTACGTGGATAATGCTGCTTCAAAGGGTTATTGACTCACACCATAAAAAACTGAGTAAAGAGCTAGTCAGGAGCCTTTAGCATTTGTAGAACAGGGAAGAAGTTCTTTGTATTGATTGGTAAAACTTGATACCTACAGGAATTTCCAGAACACTTAGCCATTCCCCCGTGGAAACAAATGATAAACAAACACTGCAGTAGTTGTGTTTTCTTTGATTTATGTTGCAAATACTCAGCCCCTATTAGGTGTCAGTTGGTGAGTATGATAGACTAATGTTGTAAGAGGTAAAACTTATAGATCCTCTATCTTTTTTTACTTTTTAAAAATTTTACTGAAGTATAGTTAATTTACAATGTTGTGTTTCTTTTTACTTTTTAAAGAGAAATATGCTTTACTATCCAAGCTCCCAAGATGCCAGGGTTCCATGTTTACTTAAAAAAGGAAAATTGGCTGTGGGAATCTCAACACTCATCACCCAACCTCTGTTTTTTCAACAGGTTTCAGGAGAAGGGGAATCTGGAAGTCCTACTTTTTACCATCCAGTCCCGGATGAGAGCCAACAATCAGAAAGTGTATACGCCCCATGATGGGAAACTGGTGTCCGACATCAACCGGGTACAGCGGCGTTTTTCATTTCACGTTGCCAGGGGGTTGATTCAGCTCCTGAGAGCAGCACAGGAGATGGTCCCTGGAAAGGGTTCGGTCCAGCCACTCTGTGCTGTTGTTAGTGACACAGCTGGCTATTGAGGGTGCTGTCTGAGCCCAGCCCTGAGAGGTCAGACTCGACCCACCATCCTTCCATTCAGGGGTGGGGAGAGGGGCAAGATAGGAGACAGGGATGAAGAGGTACAAACTACTACCTATCAAATAAATAAGATACAAGGATTTAAAGTACAGTATAAGGAATGTAGCCCATATTTTATGATAACTTTATATGAAGTGTAATCTATACAAATATTGAATCACTATGTTATACACCTGAAACTAATACAATACCGTGAGTCAACTATACTTTAATTTAGAAAAAATAAAAAAGAAAAAGAGGCAGTTGCTACACAGTTCCAGCTCAAATGCTGTGAGAATGGGGATTCAGCAGGCTTGCCAGTGGGTTAACTGAGCTTCTCCTAATGAGGGCATAGGGAATGGTTCCTGGGTAGGGGTAAGCCAAGCCACTCTGTGCTGTTAATAATGCCCAGCTGGCTGTTGGGGGTACTATCCAAGTGTGGCACTGAGAGGTCAGGCTCTACCCACTGTCCACCTGTGCAGTCCCCTCCTCAGATGCCCAGAGTCCAGTTTATAGCCTGTTCTCTATAGAACCTGGAGGGCTTTTAGGGAATATCAACTACTTTTAATGAAGGCGAATGCCTTGTGACGCTTTGGAGATTTGGAGGCCTACCACCATCTGGAAATTCCATTGGAATGGTGGTGGCCATTTACTCAGCAGGAATTTACTGAGCACCCACAGAGGCAATAACACTATATGAGACCAAGACCGATTTACAGGAAGGCCAGTTTAGGGGAAGAGGGGACTGGGAGGTCGTGATCAGTGCTCCCTGAATCTTCAGTTGGCTTAAACAGGAAAACTGGAAGGCTAGGTTCTGTCTAGATTCCTCAAATCACTCAGTCCTGGTGAAAGAGTTGGGATGGTACCCCCAAATCCCAAGAGCTCTCCTCTGCCACCCCATGCAGGCCTGGGAAAGCCTGGAGGAAGCTGAGTACCAGCGGGAGCTGGCCCTGAGGGGTGAGCTCATCCGGCAGGAGAAGCTGGAGCAGCTGGCCCGGCGCTTTGACAGAAAAGCTGCCATGAGAGAGACGTGGCTCAGTGAAAACCAGCGCCTCGTGGCCCAGGTAGTGGGGTGCACTTGGCACTGTGACGGTGGGGTGGGCGGAGTGGGGTAAGCCTCTCCACAGGCCTTGCATCCCTGCTCCCTGTGATTGGGTGGGTCAGGATTGACATCTGAAAAGGAACTCTCCCAGCTCGATTAAGTCTCACTTTTTAATTATTTATTTTTGGCTGCCCTGGGTCTTCATTACAGTGCATGGGCTTAGTTGCAGCATGTGGGCTATTAGTTCCCCTCCAGGGATCGAACCTGGGCCCCCTGCATTAGAAGCATGGAGTCTTATCCACTGGACCTCCAGGGAATTCCCTATTAAGTCTCATTTTAGGAAAGAGCCACACAATCCAAAAATGGCCCCAAAGGTTATCCCCCATGAACCATGAGCATCACCCAGAGCCAGAGTTCAAGTCGACATTTCAGGGGTCCCCTGGGGATGTGATAGAAGCCGTGCACCTTGTGGGTGTCAGACATGCCCCTTAGACTCTGGCCTTCAGGACTGTGTCACATTTCGCTAGCTAAAACCTGACCCCAGGACTGATTCTCCATGAGAGCGTCTGTCCCTTCCCACTTGGATCTTGGCATCAAATCAATTCCATCCGGAAGGGCAAAAGCAAGCATTCTGAAAGAACTGGAGAGTATGCAGTTACCCCAGAGAGCACGGGGCAAGCCCTCTGGGTGCAGCTGCAGGGTTTCCAGTAAGAAGCCCCTTCCTGCCCAGAATGGGGCAGGTCCCTCCAGGCAGGGTGGTGAGTGCCAGCAGGTGGGAAAAGAGCTCTGTCAGTGATAGTCACCCAGTGTTATACCCACACGGATGGCGCAGTGAGTAAAATCACGAGCTTCTTGCAAAGCTTCTTATGAGACATTTAGTCTTTGGAACTCGTCGCTGATAAGATAGGCTGAAAAAGATGGCAGAAGTAACCTTTTGGGAAAGAACTTTTTTCTACAGAAGTTGCTCCTAAAAGACCTGCAGTTTCTCTGAGCTTGGGGACCAACCAAGAGGACCCTAACCAAGCTGCCTGTTTTCCTTCCTCCCTGGGGGACAGGATAACTTTGGGTACGACCTGGCAGCAGTGGAGGCCGCCAAGAAGAAGCACGAGGCCATCGAGACAGACACGGCCGCCTACGAGGAGCGGGTGCGGGCCCTGGAGGACTTGGCCCAGGAGCTGGAGCTGGAGAACTACCATGACCAGAAGCGCATCACGGCCCGCAAGGACAACATCCTGCGCCTGTGGGACTACCTGCAGGAGCTGCTGGGGGCCCGGCGCCAGAGGCTGGAGAAGACACTGGACCTGCAGAAGCTCTTCCAGGACATGCTGCATAGCATTGATTGGATGGACGGGATCAAGGTGGGCCCGGGCACCCTGTCCCACCCCCACCCCACCCCGTCCCCCTGGGGCTTCAGCGAGCTGTGCTTCCATAGGCACCTCCCAGCCCCACGGCCGAGTCAGAGCAGAGCATCTAACGCAGCAGAGTGTCTGATGGCATCTGCCTCTCCAGGGCTTAGCTCGCTCTGCTCCAGTTTGCTGTATCCCCAGTGATCAAGAAATCTGGGGTTCAGAGTTAACACAGGTGCCGGCCTGCAGGGCCTGGACGAGACAGACCTCCCTCAGGAGCCTGGAGAATCACTGAGTAATCACGATCTGTCTCTAGTTGGCATCCAGACCTTGGCATCCAGGGCCCCTGAGAAGTCTGAGTCTCCTCTCTCACTATCACAGTGGCTCTCAACTGAGGATGCACATCAGACTGACCAGGGCTTGCTTTTTTTTTTTTTTTTTTAGATTTTCTGATATAGGCCATTTTTTAATATCTTTTTTTTCTTTTTTATTTATTTTCATTGGAGGCTAATTACAATATTGTGGTGGTTTTTGTCATACATTCACATGAATCAGCTGTGGGTGTACATGTGTTCCCTATGCTGAAGATATAGGCCATTTTTAAAGTCTTTGTTGAATTTGTTGCAGTGTTGCTTATGTTTTATATTCCGGTTTTTTGGCCCTGAGGCATGTAGGATCTTAGCTCCCCGACCAGGGATCAAACCCATATCCCCTGTACTGGAAGGTGAAGTCTTACTCTCTGGACCATGAGGGAAGTCCCCCATGGAACTTTCTGAAAATACGTACACCCAGGTCCCACCCCTGGGGCACATGGGCAGACTGAGTGTAGGGCTTGAACTCTTGAAAGATGCTCCCTGGATGATTCTGATGGGCACCCCCAGTGGATGCTCCTGCTCTGTAGCCTCTTTCCCATTGAGCAGCTTCATTTTCCAGCTGCATCTGACACCCTGGTCCCCAGTGCCCTGGACCCTCACTTCGGAAGGTTATTCTCCTAGCACATGGGTCTCTCCACCTCTCCTGACTCCCTCTGCCCTGTCTGTCCTCTTCGCCAGGCTCACCTCTTGTCTGCTGAGTTTGGAAAGCACTTGTTGGAGGTCGAGGACTTGCTACAGAAACACAAGTTGATGGAGGCTGACATTGCCATCCAAGGAGACAAAGTGAAGGCCATCACCACAGCCACCCTGCAGTTCACTGAGGGGTCAGGTGAGGCTGCGGGTTGAGGTTTTTCTGTTGAGGCTTCTGGCCCAACACTCCAGCACCCCAGGGTGGATAAGTCTAGCTGTAGAATTCTGCCTCTTTCATCAACACGTGGTCTAAGAAAGAAGTTTGAGGGAGAGCAAAATTCTTCAGAAAGCAGGCGAATGCTTCGGTCATCTATTATCAGAAAGGTGTGTAAGCACCAAGAAGGCATCCTTCGTCTTTCATTCTCTTGGCTAGTTTAAGTTATGGTGGAGACAAGCTAGGTTTATAGCTTCTGGTCTTAGATAGGTGACCCCTGCTGCCTCTCGGAAGAATCATCTGGAAATTAATGCCTGGGTCTTTTAAAAAATAATTTCACATTGTGCATTTCTACTGAGAGTTGATCCAACTTTTAACCTCTCTTATTCCTGGAGTTTTAGTGGGAACTAATCCCACTAATTCCTGAAGATTTAGTGGAAACTCATTATAAAGAACTAATTAAAAGCCTGTCCTCTGGGCAACTGAGACCTCCTGCATCCCAATCCCATCCCAATCCCCAGTGAGATGGCAGGTTCTAGGTGTGGTTCTAGTCTGGCACCTGATCTGAAGCTTGCGCAGAGATAATGAAGCCCTTACCTTCTTTGTCCTTCCTCTTCCCATGTCACCCAGGGTACCAGCCTTGTGACCCCCAGGTCATCCGGGATCGTGTCAGCCACCTGGAAAAGTGCTTCGAGGAGCTGAGCAACACGGCAGCTGGGCGCAAGGCCCAGCTGGAGCAGTCCAAGCAGCTCTGTAAGTTCTTCTGGGAGATGGATGAGGCCGAGAGCTGGATCAAGGAGAAGGAGCAGATTTACTCCTCCCTGGACTATGGCAAGGACCTGACCAGCGTGCTCATCCTGCAGCGTAAGCACAAGGCCTTTGAGGATGAGCTGCGCGGGCTGGATGCCCACCTAGACCAGATCTTCCGGGAGGCTGAGGACATGGTGGCACGCAAGCAGTTTGGGTACGAGCGGATTGAGGTCCGGATCAAGAAGGTGTCTGACCAGTGGAATGAGCTGAAGGACCTGGCTGCCTTTTGCAAGAAAAACCTCCAGGACACTGAGAACTTCTTCCAGTTCCAGGGCGACGCGGATGATCTGAAGGCCTGGCTACAGGACGCCCACCGGCTGCTCTCAGGGGAAGATGTGGGGCAGGATGAAGGGGCCACACGGGCCCTGGAGAAAAAACACAAGGACTTCCTGGAGGAGCTGGAGGAGAGCCGCGGAGTGATGCAGCACCTGGAACAGCAGGCGCAGGACTTTCCCCCAGGGTTCCAGGATTCCCCAGATGTGACCAACCGGCTGCAGGCCCTCCGGGATCTCTACCAGCAGGTGGTGGCCCAGGCGGACTTGCGGCGGCAGAGGCTGCAGGATGCCCTGGACCTGTACACGGTGTTTGGGGAGACAGACGCCTGTTTGCTGTGGATGGGCGAGAAGGAGAAGTGGCTGGCCCAGATGGAGATCCCGGACACACTGGAGGATCTGGAGGTCGTGCAGCACAGGTCAGAGCTGGCCCTCCCCTCTCACCGCCCCCTACAGTCTGCGCTCCTAGTCCCCAGACAGCCTCCAGATCAGCAAGCCTCTCTCTGAGAGGCTGTAGGACACCCTTTGTCCCAGAGGCCAGGCACCAAGAGTCATGAGTTCTCATCTGGCTTTGGGTACTTCACCCCCGGGGCCTTTCCCAAAGGGGCTCTTTCTAGTCCAAGTGTTCGATGACTTTTCAGTGACAGCAGCCTTTGTTCAAATGAATTGTATATGGGACCCCTGATATGTAACACAGAGGAAAGCGGAGGGGACATGACTAAGGGGGAGGTGAGCGGGAAGACCCCATAAGCTCTTTTGGCGGCAGTCCCTAAACCACATGAACCCTCGGGGGCCTCAGAGACCAGTTTGTAAACTGTCAGTCCAAGGCCACTCTCATTTCCAGTATTTGAGTTCCATTAGCACTCCGGCATGGCAAGGCTTGCCCCCAGCATCCTGAGTACAGAATCCAAGGAGCTAAGAGCAAGAGGCTACTCCTTGAGCCTGCCCTGGTGGTCCCATGCTAATGCTGGAGGGACCTGGGCTGTTATCTCAGAGGAGTCAGCTTTCATAACACAGGATTCCCACAGCCTCAGTAGTTCACCCTTCTCCTCCCCAGGATGGACCACCTGACTGAGGAGGTATCCTTCAGGTGGAGGCAGTGGAATTAGGGTTCATGAACAGCAGCTGAGCCAGTGGAGGTGTGGCAGATGGTTTCTGTGGCCGTCAACACCGCCCACACCTCATTTTTCCTCCATCTCTGTTGAGACATTGGCCTGTATAAGTAACCAGGTCTCTCCTAGCCTCATCCAGGAAATGCTAAACCAAGAAACTGGACCCATGAACCAGAAAAGAGGGCGTGTCAGCACACCTTTCTCCTTTCTCCCCTCTTACCTGGTGGAAGGAGGTAGAAGAAGAAAGCAAGAGCGGGGCAGAAAGCAAAAGCCGCTGCTGCCTTAGCAATCCTCATTTTCTCTGTCCACATCAGGTTCGACATCCTGGACCAGGAGATGAAGACGTTGATGAGTCAGATTGATGGCGTGAACCTTGCTGCCAACAGCCTGGTAGAGAGCAATCACCCACGCAGTGCGGAAGTGAAGAAGTGCCAGGATAACCTGAACACCAGGTGGGGTGTGGTGAGCACTTGGAGATGGGGGCTTCTTTTCTGGCACATCTGTGGGGTGTGGCCCAGAAGTCAGGAGGCCTGCTGTGTGTGCCAGGTTTGTACCCTCAGAGTTCCTGCCTCCATCTGCCATGGTCTCCTTCTGACCCTGGAGCTATAGCCCCAGGGAGGAGGGACCTGGGTGGTGACCAGCCCAGGGAAAGAGATGTGTTCCCAGAGCTGCAGTGCTGTGCCTGGAATGGGTGTGTGCTGAGCAATGGAGGAAATGCCCTGAGTGCATCCACAGTTAGAATCAGGCCATGTGGTTCTCAGGCCACATTTCCCTGGCCGTTCTTAGGCAGGGAAGATTGCTTTCTGAGAGCTCTTAAGTACTGTCCTTAAAAGAAAGCTCCTGCTTGTGCCAAAATGCAGCATTGATAATGACACTGGCTTGAATGAAGAGGAGAATTAGCAAGAAGCCTTGAGCACACGTCATGGCCAGAAGGAAAAACAGGCCCTAAGGAGCCTTTGGAGAGGGACTGCTTTCAGTACAGGATGTGATTGCCACGGGATCCTTGGGAGTCTCTGAGGACAGTGCATGCACCTATGTTCCATTCGGTATCCTGGGCTCTACATGCGCAGCACCACGTTCACTGCCGCCACTGAACCCTGCCTGTTCCCCACACCTGCCTGAACCCTGCTCTGCCTGAGGCAACCTGGGAGGTGGGGTTAGGGAAGACTTGGCTGTAAAGAAAAGGAGCAGCACAGAGAGCTTAAGAGGAGGCAAGGGGTAACCCCCTAATACTTGGGAGCCACCAGATTGTCTCAGCATCCACCCCACTTGGGGTCAGTCTCTTTTGTTAGAAAGTTGGATCTCATCATGAGTGGAAATCTGCCTCCTTGAAATTTATGTACATCGGTTCTGGACTCTGCCTATTAGAGATACTGAAACTTACTCCAATTCTTCTTCCACGTGATAGCTCTTTGACTTTTTAAAGACAATTGTCCCCCTTCACCTGCACCCACGGTCCTGCCTCCATGTAGGTGCCATTCTCTCTACAGGGTCCATCCTCCTCCAACAATATGGTCTAAATTGTGGTTGTACTGTGGCCAGTACAGGTTTCTCTCCCTCCCAGTTTCCAGGATGAAAAAGTATCTTTCCTTGACTGATTTAGAGTTTCATACTCTACCTTTTATTATAATTACTTTCATCTTTTAAGAAATTTTCTACTAGACTGTAAGTGAATGAAGAGCAGTATCTTATAGCGTCCACAGTATTTTATACACTGCCCACAGTATCTTATACAGTGTCCACAGTATTTTATACAGTGTCCATGGTATCTTCTATAGCGTCTATAGCTCTGAGCACCAAGATTTTATTGTCTGAGGCTCCCTCTGTTGGGAATATTCTTTTCACAGGTATCCTCACTCCCACACGTTACTCAGATCTCGGTCATGTCCTCTTCTTGGTGCAGTTCACAATGACCAACCCATTCACAGTATCACCTCCTCCTTCCCATCCAGCTCCTCTGCCTCAATACCTTTTTCTTGCTTCCTTTTAATTTTAAAGATTTTTAAAAATTGTTTATTTATTTTTGGCTGCACTGAGTCTTCATTGCTGCATGCAGGCTTTCTGTAGTTGCAAAAAGCGGAGTCCACTCTCTACTTGCAGTGAGCAGGGGTTATTCTCTCATTGAAGTGGCTTCTCTTGTTGTGGAGCCCAGGCTTTAGGCATGTGGGCTTCAATAGTTGCCATCCACAGGCCTTAGAAGTTACAGAAAAAGGGCTTAGATGCCCCGAAGAATGTGGGATCTTCCTGGACCAGAAAGTGAACCCATGTCCCCTGCATTGGCAGGCAGATTCTCAATCACTAGACCACCAGGGAAGTCCCCCTTTTCTTCCCCTTTAAATTGGATTTTTTAAAACGGTTTATTTGGGGGTTTTTGGTCATACCACATAGCATGTGAGATATTAGTCTCCCAACCTGGTATTGAAGCAGCGTCCCCTGCATTACAAGTGCTGAGTCTTAACCACTGGACCACCAAAGACTGGTGCTTAACTTTTCTCCTTTGTACTTGTCACCACTTGATGGAGTAAACACTTAACTGCCCCCGGCCATTTGAATGGGAGCACTTTACTTCATTTGTGGTTCTATCCCCAGAGCCTAGAACAGTGACTGGCACGAGACATGTACGTGATGGTTGTGTGATGTGAGTGACCGAGGCCAGAACTGAAATGTGCCAGGATCCGCACACCTAAGTCACTCAAGTACTTACTGAATATGTGATTACCTCCCACCATACACATTCTGGTTGGCCAATATTATCTTATAATATCTTGGGCCCAGGACCACACCTGGACTCCTGACATGGTCTGGCCAGTACTGCCTAGAGCAGCTCTAACAACGTCCCCCCTTTTGGAGATGGTGCAGGGGAGGGGAAGGTGGGTTTGGGAGGCAGACTAGACCCAAATGTCACCCTGTCCCCTATGTGGCACTTGCCTGGTGTCTACAGTGAGGCCATACCAAGAAAAGCCTGGAAAGTCACCATGGAACCTCCTTCCTAGGGGCACTGCCAGATGGTCTCCTGTGGTTTCTGGATGGAGCTGGGAGGCCTCCCAGCCCTGGGGCACCTCGCTTTCCTTTCACAGTAGTTTCAGATCACCTTGGGGGGAACCTCCAGCCCTTTTCCCTTAACATCCAGCCTCAGCAGCATCCGTGTAACAGGCACAAAACTCCCCAGAGGTCGGGGGCCTTACCTCTGGACTCGTCTCCCCTCTTTCCTGGAATTTCCCATCCTTTCTCTGGGCTCATCCTCCTCTCTCTCTTGGAATTCCCAATCCTTCCCAGCCCTCCTCCCACTGCTTTGCAGACCTGTCTTCCACCCCCAGACTGAGGTCGCCCTGGGAATACCCACAATGCGCTCTACCCAGTCCATCTGCCTCCTCCGTCCACTTCCATCCCAGGCTTCAGAGATGAGTGACTCAGGGCCCGCTCCTTAAATAGCTCACTGCTGGTGATGCATTCACTGAAGCACAGCTCAGATGACCACCGTGAAACCTGCCCTTACCACCCCTCCTGCTCCTCACAGCTCCCTTAGTCCTGTCTGCCTGGTGTGTGCTGTGTACGTTGTACTTTACACTATGGTTGTTTGATGAGTTTATCCTACTTTCTTTCTAACTCATACACTCTGTGGAGCAAAGTCTGGCTATGACTGTATCTTCCCAAAGGCCCAAAGCCAGAGCAAAGTCTGGCTGTGACCGTATGTTCCCAAAGCTCTTCATAATGCTTATACATTGTGGATATTCAAGAGAGATGAGCTCAATTAGCGACTGCACATTCAGTGTACTCTCATGTGCTTCCAGTTCACAATGATGCAGAGTGAGTAAACCCAGGTCCAGGGGAGGTGTCCCTGGTGGTGTGGGCCCAGGCTATTGAGCGGCTCTTTAGAAGAGGCTTACTGTGGGCTGCAGACCAGTCTCAGGACATCTGCCCGACTTTTGCACACTCCCCAGGTTCATCCCACACTGCACATGAAGGTTAAGATTATGTTTTAATTACAATCCCAGTTTCTCCTTCCCTCTTCTTCTTCTTCCTTCTCTTCACTACAACTCTTTTCTTTGACAGCCATGCTGGCTTTCCTTAGCCCCAGGGCACTTAGAACATGGTCTCAGACATTTGTGTGGTTCCTCTGTGGCAGCTGGGATCCTGTGTCATAAAGCTCTCTTATGATTGATAATGGGGCATTTCTAATTATTTTCAGTATAAGCATACCTCAGAAATAATGTGGGTTCAGTTGCAGGCCACCTCAATAATCAAATATCAAAATAAAATGAGTCACACACAAATTTGGGGAGTTCCCAGTGCATATAAAAGTTGTTTACACAATACTGTAGTCTACTAAGTGTGCAACGTTATTATGCCTAGGAAAACAACGTACAAACATTAATTTAAAAATACTTTATCACTAAAAAATGCTCATCCTCTGAGCCTTCAGTGACTCATAACCTTTTTGCAATAGTAACATCAAAGATCACTGCCCACAGAGCACCATACAAGTATAATAATGAGAGAGTTTGAAATACTGCAGTAACTACCAAAATATGATAGACATGAAGTGAGCAAATGTTACAAAAATGGCACTAATAGATGTCTCAACAAAGGATTGCTACAAATCCTCGATTCATAAAAGAAAACAAAAACAAAAAAGCCCCATAGTATCTGTGAAGTACAGTAAAGCAAAGCTGAATAAAACGAGATATGCTTGCATTTCAAAAAATCTGGGAAATTGTATGTTTGCCTGAATTTCAACTACATATAGAGCTTACATACAGAGCATCATGTTCCTTTATTGATGGTTGTAATAACATCACAGTTCGCCTCCTGCTAATGGAAGCTCTGGCAGTTCTGTTGTCTTGGATAAAATTGGATAAACTGACTCATCACAGTTTGCTGGAGAGATGACTCTTTTTTCAGAAATCTGGAAGGGACACCCTGGGGGAAGAGTTAAGGAAGAGGCTGTCTGACTCCCATCTCCTTCGGCAGGTGGCAGGACTTCCAGACCATGGTGTCCGAACGGCGGGAGGCCGTGGACTCGGCCCTCCGGGTGCACAACTACTGCGTGGACTGTGAGGAGACTGGCAAGTGGATCGTGGACAAGACGAAGGTGGTGGAGTCCACAAAGGACCTGGGCCGGGACCTGGCAGGGGTCATTGCCATCCAGCGCAAGTTGTCGGGGCTGGAGCGTGACGTGGCTGCCATCCAGACCCGTTTGGGCATGCTGGAGCGGGAGTCACAGCGGTTGATGCAGTCACACCCCGAGCTGAAGACGGACATTGAGCAGAGGCAGGCGTACGTGGAGGAGCTGTGGCAGGGCCTAAAGCAGGCCTTGAAGAGCCAGGAGGCCTCCCTGGGGGAAGCCAGCCAGCTGCAGGCCTTCCTGCAGGATCTGGATGCCTTCCAGGCCTGGCTCTCCACAACCCAGAAGGATGTGGCCTCCAAGGACATGCCCGAGTCCCTCCCGGAGGCCGAGCAGCTCCTGCAGCAGCACGCGGCCATCAAGGACGACATCGACAGGCACCAGGAGAGCTACCAGAAAGTCAGGGTGTCTGGGGAGAGGGTGACCCATGGCCAGACAGACCCAGAGTACCTGCTCCTGGGCCAGCGGCTAGATGGCCTAGAGAAGGGCTGGGACGCCTTGAGCCGGATGTGGGAGAGCCGCAGCCAGGCCCTCACCCAGTGCCTCGGCTTCCAGGAGTTCCAGAAAGATGCCAAGCAGGCTGAGGCCATCCTCAGCAACCAGGTAGGGAGAGGCACTAGGGGCTGGGGGCATCTCTCAGGGCAAGAGAGAATTTGTAGGTTATCAGCCTGCAGAAGTGCTACAGGGCTCAGGGATCAAATTGTGCTTTTCTTAGATTCTCTCTAGTTCAGGGGACAGTCCTCTGTGTTCCTTATCATGTGCCCTTTCCAGTCCCGTGTCCCAAACTGTGTCTTATTCTTGGGCCAGTTAGAGGCTTGTTGTTCAGTCGCTCAGTCATGTCTGACTCTTTGTGACCCTATGGACTGCAGTGTACCAGGCTTCCCTGTCCTTCACCATCTCCTGGAGTTGGCTCAAACTCATGTGAGTTAGCGATGCCATCCAACCATCTCGTCTTCTGTTATCCCCTTTTCCTCTTGCCTTCAGAGAAGTGAATTTTTCCCCTGGGTGGCTCTCCTTCCAGGTGGCTTTTGGCACCCTGCTCATCAGGTGCCCTGAGCAGGGGCAGGGAACAGGGCTCAGGGACCTTCTTCCTTGCACAACTGCAGGGGCTGCCGTTCATGCTGTGACCTGCATGGCTGCACACACAGCTCCTGCCTGGCAAGGGCCCTCTCCTCCACCTCCTTACCTCCATGCCTTGTCTGGAAACTTGCTTCGACAGGAATATACCCTGGCTCACTTGGAGTTCCCAGACTCCCTAGAAGCTGCAGAGGCCGGGATCCGGAAGTTTGAGGATTTCTTGGTGTCTATGGAGAACAACCGGGATAAGGTTTTGAGTCCTGTGGACTCTGGCAACAAGCTGGTAGCTGAGGGGAACCTCTACTCAGACAAGATCAAGGAGAAGGTGCAGCTGATTGAGGACAGGTACTCTCTGCCCCAAGGGTCAGGGGGCCGGAGCCAGGTAGGGTAATGGTGCAGTCCACAGCACCCTTGTACTTGTGGTTCCGGCTTTCCTTGCAGGCACAGGAAGAACAATGAGAAGGCCCAAGAGTCCTCAGAGCTTCTGAAAGACAACCTAGAGCTCCAGAACTTCTTGCAGAACTGCCAGGAGGTAAGGCTCCAGCCAGGCTGGCCACTTTGCAGGAGATTCCCTCTAGGAGCATGGTGCCCTGGAGGTGGGAAGTCCTTTCTCACTCAGGAGTCTGGATTCCACGAGCAGGGAGCTCTGGGCACATGACATTATTAAGTCCTTCATCCTCTAGAATCTTTGGTTTCACAATTTTTTTTTCAAATCTGTAAAGATATCTTTTAATTTGTCAAGTCTGGGGCAAGATTTCTCAAAAAGTGCCCTGAGGACTATCTGTATTAGAGTCACCTAGGGCCCTGGTCAGGGTTGGCCTGAAAGTCCTGTGACCTTTGCATCCATATGGGGCCCGGTGTGTACAAGGGCCTCATGTTTGGTTTATTACTCTGCTGTTGCCTTCTTGCAATTCTTAATGACTTTGAATATTCCCATTTTACACCAGGCCCTGCAAATTATGGATCTGGTCCTGGCTCTAGTTGAATGCAGACTTCTGGGCCCCAGTTGGGCCCAGATGAATCAGAACTTAGGGGGTAAATGGAAAAAGAAAAAAAAGAACTTAGGGGGTGAGATAGAGAGCAGCATTCTCAACAAGCTTTTCGGTTGGAGAACCACTGACTCAGAAGGTCCTCACTCAGCCTGGGGTGAGCTCTCCAGGAAGATCTTTGCCCTGTACTCCTAGGCCTCTCCATGAACAATGCTTCCATGTGGAATGGGGCTTCCCCTGACATTTTTGTTGCTTCCATCATTGTACCCCTTTCCTCTCAACTCAAATGACTTTGCCCTCACCCATCTCGGCCCTTGGTACAAACCAAGCTTGGTGTAATGCCAAGACATCTTGGAAACATGAGAGACTTAATAGTTCTTCCTTCACTGTTATTATAGGATCTGCTCTTGGCTTTATCCTCAGATAACATTTTTTCACCCTACTGCCAAAGGGTGGGTTTAACCATCCATTCAGTAAACACATGTTGAGCTACTGCCAATAGACCAGGCCCTGTCCTCAGTCCTGGAAATGTGGAGAGAAGTGTGAATATCCCTGGTGTTGTACTGCACATGCTCTAGAGGGGAAGACACGGTGGTGCCTGTGTTTCAGCCCTGAGACCTTGCGGGTTAAGTTTCCTGTGCTGGGAGTTAGGGATCCCAAGTCAGAGGGGAGTACTCTGCTGTATTCATACTCCCTCCCCTTGGCCTTCTTCTGCAGCCAGAGGTGGGCAGCAGGTCCAGCCATGAGCCCCTGGCCAAAGAGGGACTCTCAGGGACCATGGATCCCATTCTTTCTGCCCACAGCTCACTCTCTGGATCAATGACAAGCTGCTAACATCTCAGGATGTCTCCTATGACGAAGCTCGAAACCTTCACAACAAATGGCTGAAGCACCAGGCATTCGTGGCGGAGCTGGCTTCCCACCAGGGGTGGCTGGAGAACCTTGACGCGGTGAGCAGAGCAATTGGTGGGGTCTCTGCATGGGGATTCTTCCTTGAGTGGGGCTGCACGTGGGGCACGGACACTGGCTGGGAGCTTGCCGAGCAGTATAGGTCCTGGATGTGAAAAACTTCTCCAAGTAGTGGTTAAGCCTTGGAACTCCTGATAATCCGATGTTAAGCATGCACAGAATGGGTGCCTCCTGTGGGTCACTTGAGTCTCGGGACAGTCCAGGACATTAAGAACACAGGGCCTGTGTGTCCAGTGCCAGGACAGCAGTAAATCTCTTGTCTGCCGTCCATCATCCTCACCAGGATGTCCTGCCTCTGCAGAGGCAGGGGGATCTCTGAGATGAGCAGAGTGGGCCAGGGACTACTGACCCTCATTGTTTGGATGGGCAGCACCACCAGGGAGCTGTCATTCATAACAGAGGTCCCATCTGTAATAAGCTTGTCCAGGGGCCCAAGTCAAAAATATGGCTGGAGTCAGGCCTGGAGGAAGAGAAAGAGAGGAGAAAGAGGAGCCTCTCACTCCTGTGACTGTCCGTAAAAAGCAGGCCTGGGAGCCACACGAGTTTGTGTCCATCGTGGTTAAGCGTGGGGCTCCAAGCCAGGCTGCCTGAACCCTTAACCTCCATGTGCCTCAGTTTCTGCTGCAAATAACTCTGGAGGTGCAGAGTTTTTTGCTAAGCCTCACCCAAGTTCTAGGCAGATCCATTGCCTCACTGACCTCTCCTCAGTTAGCACTTGGCAACCACCTGGGGCAAGGGGGCTCTCTAAGGATCCTCTCCAAGGTCGTAGGGTGAACACTTCTCCTTCCCCACACAGGAAGGAAAGCAGCTGATGGAGGAGAAGCCTCAGTTTGCAGCCCTGGTGTCACAGAAGCTGGAAGCCCTGCACCGGCTCTGGGACGAGCTTCAGGCCAACACACAAGAGACGGCTCAGCACCTATCAGCTGCCAGGAGCTCCGACCTGCGCTCGCAGACCCAAGCTGACCTCAACAAGTGGATCCGGGCCATGGAGGACCAGCTGCAGTCGGACGACCTGGGCAAGGACCTGACCAGCGTCAACAGGATGCTGGCTAAGCTGAAGGCGAGTAAATGGGTTGCAGACTGGGGCCTTTGGCATGGAAGGAGTCTTGGCAGCAAATCTGCAACCTGAAAGGGAGTACCCTCCTGTCCCTTTAGCTAGGCTGGCTTTTATCACATCTCCCGGTTTGTAACCCAGCTCCTACCCTCTGCGGTGGGTAAGACAGGGTAATAAAAGCATGCGTGAGAAGTATAGCATAGGTGCTCAGAGGGGCAAAAGATGAGGTGGGGGAAATCCAAGAAGACTCCCTGGGGAAGGCTGAGTGCAAGCCAGGTCTTGGAGGATCGGTGGGACGTGGATGAGGAGGAGGGGCTGGCCAGGTGCACGGGCCGGTGCCAACACCATCCTCTCGTGTCCCAGCGCGTGGAGGACCAAGTGAATGTGCGCAAGGAGGAGCTGGAGGAGCTGTTCGCCCAGATGCCCTCGCTGGGAGAGGAGGCGGGGGATGAAGACCTGAGCATTGAGAAGCGGTTCCTGGATCTTCTGGAGCCCTTGGGGAGGAGGAAGAAGCAGCTGGAATCATCCAGAGCCAAGCTGCAGATCAGCCGGGACTTAGAGGATGAGACGGTGAGTGGGCGCAGCGGCCCCCCCTTCCCCAGCTGTCATCGGGGTGGCTGGCTGCCGCCCAGGGCAATTCTTGGCAGGCAAAGTCTGGTCATCTCACCACCTCATTTCATAGGGTGGTTGTAATGATTACATTTAATATAAAAGTAAGCCAGTGCCCTTTGAAGGGTGGCTCACTCGTGGCTCACGAGACAGACTTGGGCTTGAGGTCCAGCTAAGTTGCCACCTGCCTTGAAGTGACCAGGAGCAAGTTACTTGGAAGCTCGGTTCAAAGTATCAGAATGCCCCTCCTTTTACAAAACACTGATGGGGTGTTGGGAGGAACCAGAGGGACACGGGAGGCAGAGCTGTGTCTGGCCCATGGGGAGCGATGGAAGGGTAACCGTGGTTGTCATCCGCTGTCCCCTGCCCTCTGGTCTCCGCAGCTCTGGGTGGAAGAGAGGCTGCCTCTGGCCCAGTCGACCGACTATGGCACTAACCTGCAAACCGTGCAGCTGTTCGTGAAAAAGAACCAGGTGGGTCCTGCCACCTGTCAGTCCCTCCTGCCCCCGCCACTCCCCAGCAGCAGCTTACAGACCCTTTCTTGTTGACAGTTCCAGGGTTCCCAGTCTGCGTGTGTATTCTCATGCAGCTTTGCTGATAGCAGAGGGAATTCTAGGGGAGCCATGGGAGGTGGTGAATGGGAATGGGGGTCCAGATGCTTTCGAACTTGGGGCCATTCGGGGACAGGTGAGTGTAGGACCTGGAGGCCGTGGCCTGGGTATTCATGTGCTTTGTAGCTTCTGTATTCCGTGGCCTCCCTGAGAGGAGACTGATAGCTCCTGGGGTCTCTCCTGTCGCTGCTTTGTCCCTCTTTCAGAGCTAAACTTGACCTGTTAGGTCTCCTCAGGACAAGTAGGCCTCCACTCTCTGAAACACATGAGGGTGCTTGTGGGGCTCTAACCCCCACTTCCTTTAGAGGAAGCCGCTAAACTTGGACTCTGAGCCACAGGAGCAAACATCCATTGGCTGTTCTGCTGTTTTAGGCCTGATTGGGAACTTCTGTGTCCTTGGGCAGAAGCCTGGAAGCAAGCAAATGCTCTTCCTCTGTCCGGGCTGCAGGGAAGCCTGTGTCCTCTGGGAAGGCCGGTGGCATGGGTTTGTGGTCTGACCATGCAATCTGGCCAGGGGCTGACTGTACCCCTGCTCTTAGGCGGAGTCCGTCCTGGCTCAGGAAGTGGGGCAGCTGCAGTCTCGATCAGGGAGAATCTGGGAACTTAGAGAAGAGCGGAGTGTCCCAGAATGACAGTTGGTACTGCAGCAATGGGGAAGGAAGGTCATGGCAGACAGTACTTCCTTCTTCCAAAAATGCCAGCAGCCAACATCTTCCCACAGAACCCAGCAACTGTGCAAGGGCCTGAATTAATTATACTAAAAATGGTTTCTTGAAGGCTTCTTCTAACCCTTTGCTTCCAGTTGGCATGGTCATGGCACTGAGGCTCCAGTGGCAGCATGTAGGGACCCGAACTAGAAGGTGGTGGAGGTGGGGGTTCCACTAACACATCAACCTCCAGTTAAATGGGGAAGGCTGAGAGAAGATAATATCCTTGAGGCCTCAGTTTCCTCTACTATAAAATGAGCCAACTCTAGTCCTTTCAACATTCACTCCTTTAGCCTCAGAGTTACTGCCAAATGATTTTCACCTCCCCGAGCTGAAGATGGCTGTTTCAGGAGAAGGGCAAGAGTAATATGGATGGGGTTCCCCTTAACATGAAGGGAAAGACAGTCTCTTGGGTGAGCGTGGCTGCTCCAGTAAAGATGATTTTAGGCTAGCCTCACTAAAGCCGAAATCCCATTTTATCATCCCTTCTATTGCAGTGGTTTGTGTGCATCAGACTCACCCAGAGGGCTTGTTAGAACACACTTGGCCGGGCTCCACCCTAGATATTCTGCATCACACTCTGGGAGCAAAGCCTAATAGTTCGCGTTTCTATTAAGATCCTAGATGATGCTGATGCTGCTGGCCTGGAACCCCACTTTGAGAACCACTGCTCTAATGGCCATCACTGTGACTAGAACCCAACCTGCAAGGTGCCTCATGAAGGGTTCTCAACTCTAGCTGCACATTAAAATCACCCAAAGGGACCTTTAGACATATGAATGCCTGAGTCCCATCTCAGATCAATTAATCAGGATCTCTGGGAATGGGGTAGCCCTATCTATGTCTAGTTTCCCCCAGTAATTCAATGTTCAACCACTGTCCAGCCTGGCCTGGCTCCCACCTCCCCCTGAATCTTCTGTCTTACCCCTTTCACCCTCCTTCACAGTATTCAAGTTTGCCTGGCCCTTTGGACCATCCAGGTTTCCTTCCAGGGACTTCCTTGACACTGGCTCTGTCCACCTGCCATCAACATTCATCCTCCAAATCTCTCTGGGGTTTCTTTCTCTCATCAGTCACGTCTCACTCAGATGTTATCTATACAGAAAACCCTTCCTGGACCCCCAGCTAGAGTGGCCACTGCCACGCCTTGGAGAACAATCTTCATCTTTTTGCTTAAAAGGAGACAGAAATAGCTTTCTAATATACGTGAAGAGTTGATAGATCTCAGGGAAAGTAAACAGGCAAGTGGAATCTGACCCCCTGGGTTGTTTGAATACAATTGCAGAGACCATAGGAAATTGCCTGAATCAAGATTCCAAGCATCAGGTGTAAGGTGCCTTTCAACAAGCTAGGTGACTTACAGGTATTGATAGTTCCATGTATTTTGAATGCTGACAGTCACAACACTGGCCATGTATCCTGTTCTTGCCCATCACCAAAGTGGGAAGAAAATACCATGTTGGTAACCGAAGTCTCAAGCAGGAAATAATTCAAAGCTCAGAAAAGATTTGAGAAATAGAAACAGGAGAAAACAAAACAAAATCCTACCCTGAATAAGGAGCAACTGCTGACTATTGTTTTATACAGAGTAAAAGTTGCTAAAATCAGATCTCAGAAGGCCATTTTAAGAGTCATTTTCCTCTCCTCCACCACACACAGCTAAGAAATCGAGCTCTACTGAAATAGGAGGAGTAGGGAGCCATCAAGAGCTCCCGCTCTGGGATCCAAGAGAGCCGTGCTCAGACCCCACCCTGTCACTCGAAGCCCACAGTGACCTAACATGGTCACAGGCCATTTTCACAGCCACACCCGCTCTGCTCAAGCTTCCCTAAGTGGTTCCGGGCGAGAGGGGCCCGGAAGGGGCCCTGGGCTGCCCTGCACGGTGGGAAGGCCAGCCCCTGAGCCCTTCCCCTCTGGCCGCAGACGCTGCAGAACGAGATCCTGGGCCACACGCCCCGGGTGGAGGACGTGCTGCACAGAGCGCAGCAGCTGGTGGCGGCGGCCGAGATCGACTGCCGGGACGTGGAGGAGCGCCTGGGGCAGCTGCAAGGCTTGTGGGACACGCTGCGGGAGGCAGCGGCCGGCCGGCTGCAGCGCCTGCGGGAGGCCAGCGAGGCCCAGCAGTACTACCTGGATGCGGGCGAGGCCGAGGCCTGGATCGGCGAGCAGGAGTTCTACGTCTTCTCCGACGAGAACCCCCAGGTTGGCTCGGGCAGGGTCCAGGGCTAGAGGCCAAAACCAGCTGAGAAGAAGAGCCAGAGGGGAGATGGGCTGTCGGGGGGCACCTGGAATGCCATGTGTGAGAAGTGAGTGCAGGGGTCCAGGTGCTCTCAGGACGCCCCTCCTCTTGAGAACGTATGATGCATGTGCTTTACCCGGGCGCCCTGTTTGCAGTTAGATTTGCTCTAACCCGAGTTCTTCACGTTTTTTGTGTCAGGGGCTCTATGCAGGTGAACTGTGGTGGGAGGGACTGAGAGGTGAGCTAAGGGGGTCTCTAAAAGCTGGGGTGGTACAGGAAGTTTTCATTAGGGGAGAGGTTGGACCAGGGCCTGGGAGGGTGGACGTCAGATAAGAATTAAGGGTGTCGAAAAAATAAAAAAATTTAAAAAAAAAAGAATTGAGGGTGTCGAGAAGAAGGTAGGAGGCGGGCATTGCCAGGCACCGGGAGTAGCAGGAAGAGACCACTCGTAGTGCTCCTGGGGTGTCCCACAACCCTGGCCCTCCCGTATCTCGGGCACCTGCCGGAGCTGGGCTGTGACCTGGATGAGATGAGCTCGTACCCTGACAGTCTGCTTCCTCCCAGGATGAAGAGAGTGCCATCGTGATGCTGAAGCGGCACTTGCGGCAGCAGCGGGCGGTGGAGGAGTATGGGAGGAACATCAAGCAGCTGGCTGGCCGGGCGCAGGGCCTGCTATCCGCAGGCCACCCCGAGGGGTGAGTGTGCCTCCGGGGGTGACCTGGCCAGGTCCTGGGCACACACCGCCGCCACCAAGCAGGATCCCTTCAGGTCCAAGGGGAAAACAGGAATGGTTTTCCCCAAGGCTACGGGTTTGAGAAGGCTGCCTTCTGGAATGCTGGTTGGCCCCAGGACCCTCTTGTGTTGTGGTTTAGTGTGACTTCAAACAGGGCTGATGGAAGGAGGCCTGGTTGGCAAAGAGATTCAGAAACAGACTAGCAAAACTACCTGCATGGTGAACTGAGAGCTCCGGTCTTTGGAGGAGTTAGTCTTCTGCATCTTTCAGCCTAGTCTAACTTTGCTTTTTGTGTGTGTGTGGTCCAGAAGGCAGGTCAGGATCTCGCAGTGTCTCGGCAAAATCATTATACACCATCTAAGCTGTTGAGTGGTATGGGTGTAGCGTCAGTGGAGCCCACTGAGTCAGGCACCTCAGGCTGCCCCCAGGCCTGGCCCTGTCCTCCGGGCACCCACAGCAGCCACTTCAGTGTCTCCTAAGGACCCCCAGGGACTGAAGAGCCCCTGGTACTGCACATCCCTCCCTAAGGAGTCAAGCAGGCCCTTCTGCTGGTAGACCCGGGCTCAGACTGCCCCCGCCCCCAGCCTCCTTGGAAGAATAGCAGAAGAGTTCTCCATCCAGACCAGTCTCTCTGAGCTTCCCAGAGTCAGGGGCAGGGACAGGAGGCAGCTCCTAGCAGGGAACACATTTCATCATCCCCTGAAGCATCATGGTCTAAGGGATGGTTCCTTTTCTCCCGGCTCTTCCCCATGAAAAGTCACTGCCATCCATGTCTTCTAAGCTGTGCTGCCCCATGCATTCGGGCCTCAGGGCTGGGAAGGAGGAGGCGGGTTCCTCGAAGCTGGCTGTCCTGGGTTCTCAGCCGCCCCCTCTGAGGACTTTTCTTGTTTTGAATCCCAGAGAACAGATCATCAGACTTCAGGGGCAAGTGGACAAGCAGTATGCAGGGCTGAAGGACATGGCGGAGGAGCGCAGGCGGAAGCTGGAGAACATGTACCACCTGTTCCAGCTCAAGAGGGAGGTGGATGACCTGGAGCAGTGGATCGCAGAGAAGGACACGGTGGCCTCCTCCTCGGAAATGGGGCAAGACTTTGACCACGTGACTGTGAGTATCCACGGCCCCTGCTAGCTTTGTCTCCCTCTAAGGCAGCAGACCCAGGAGCTGTCTGTCCCCCTCCACACTCACACACACACACACCTGCCAGGTGCAGTGTACCGCAGTGATGAGGACTCCCCTGTGTGAGCTCAGGCACCCTGGGGAAGGTGTCAGAGCCCAGCTCCAGGCGGTGGCAGGTGCCACTGGGAGTCTACGTGATGACATTACTGAACCCCGAGCCCTGATAACCGATAACCGCGTTTCCATCTACCCTTGTCCAGGTGCTCCGGGACAAGTTCCGGGACTTCGCCCGGGAGACCGGGGCAATTGGGCAGGAGCGTGTGGACAACGTGAATGCCGTCATTGAGCGGCTCATCGATGCGGGCCACTCAGAGGCAGCCACCATCGCCGAGTGGAAGGATGGGCTGAACGAGATGTGGGCGGACCTGCTAGAGCTCATCGACACGCGCATGCAGCTGCTGGCTGCCTCCTACGACCTGCAGCGCTACTTCTACACCGGTTCCGAGATCCTGGGCCTCATTGATGAGAAGCACCGTGAGCTGCCTGAGGATGTGGGGCTGGACGCCAGCACCGCAGAGTCTTTCCACCGTGTGCACACAGCTTTTGAGCGGGAGCTCCATCTGCTGGGGGAGCAGGTACCTCTGGCCTCCAGATGTCCCTCCACCTTGCCCCTGACCATCTTCCCTGGGATGCTGTAGTGTCAGGCCCTCTCCTGGCTTCTAGAGAGGAAATGTCTGCAACAGGCACCTCCTTAGAGAGGCAACAGCTCCAGGCAGGAAGGCAGGGAGCAGAGGCTTTCAAATGTTCTTTAACTTTAGAGCTAGTTCCCCGGTGGCTCAGACAGTGAAGAGTCTGCCTGCAATGTGGGACACCTGGGTTTGATCCCTGGGTCAGGAAGATCTCCTAGAGAAGGGAATGGCTACCCACTCCAGTATTCTTGCCTGGAGAATCCCATGGACAGAGAGCCTGGCGGGCTACAGTCCATGGGGTCGCAATGAGTCGGACATGACTGAGCAGTTAACACTTTCACTTTAAACTGAGCCTTTCCCAAAACCCAATGCAAAGTGCCTTAAAATGCAATTTATCTGGTTGTCAGAGTGTTACAGAATCATTAGTGAGTCCACATGTAGCACTTTTCGAGCACCAGGTGCTGTTCTAAGCAATACACTCAGCCACACTCTGAGGAAGGGAGTAATGTCTTCTGCCTTTTCTAGATGAGGAAAGCAAGGCATTAAAGGGTAATTAAGTTGCCTGGAAACATGCAGCTAAGCAGTGGAGCCAGGATTCAGATCCTGGCAGTCTGGCTGTAGACTCTGAACCCTTAGCCATGGGGGCTGTTTAGCCTTTCCAAGTGGGAGCTGGAGGGGGGCCCAAGATCAGCCTAGACTCCCCCTTCCCATCACGGGGTGCCCCATAAGGCACTTCTATAGGCCCATAAGGTTCTGCAAAGTCCAGGGTGATGAAAAGGTTGAGGGGGAGCTCAGTCTCTTTGGGGGTACTCACCAGGCTTCCAGTGGAACAGGGAGAGCTGGGCTCACTTGCAGTCCTGCACCGATGCAGTGGGATTTCAGGAAAAAGCACCAAAGTATTAATAGGTGGGGCCCCTGGGTCACCAAGAAGGGGACAGCCTAGGGATTTGTCATCTAGCTGGAGGTGCCTTGGGGATGCCGGAGCCCTTGAGGCAGGTACAGCCCCACCAGGGTCTCGGGAGTGAGGTTTCACTGAACTGGGACCTGCCTCGAACAGTGAATGGCATCACGAAGAAGGATCTGGAACAGGGAGTCGAGAGACACCTCCAGTCCCAGCTGTGCCCTCTCCGAGAATGAGTGACCTCGGGCCAGTCATGAGCCTCCCTGCGGCCCAGTTTCCTTGTTTCAGAAACAGGGATAAGAACGGTACCTCTTTGATGAGATTGTTATAAAGACTGAGAGTCATAAAATGTGCTTAGAGCAGTGCCCAGTATATAATTACCCTCATAATCACACATCAAAGGGCACAGAGCCCCTCTCACTCCCAAATCTTTATCAGAGCCCAAAGGGTGGTTTGGGTCAGCAGAGATGCCAGGGCAGGGAGCCTTCTCTCCAGCACCCAGAAGTGGGGAGCCTCCAGCACCGTCCTCAGAAGGGAGACCCAGAGGAAGCAGACACTCTCATCCATCCTAGGCCCAAGACATGTCAGCCCGGGGAACAACAGTCAGTTTTGCCCCATCACAGGTACAGCAGTTCCAGGATGTGGCCACCCGCCTGCAAACAGCGTACGCCGGGGAGAAGGCAGACATCATCCAGAACAAGGAGCAGGAAGTGTCTGCCGCGTGGCAGGCGCTGCTCGATGCCTGTGCCGGGCGCCGCACCCAGCTGGTGGACACGGCAGACAAATTCCGCTTCTTCAGCATGGTCCGAGACCTCCTCTCCTGGATGGACAGCATCATCCGGCAGATTGAGACCCAGGAGAAGCCCAGGTGAGAGCAGCATCCCTACCCCTGGACCAGTTTGTCCCAGAGGCTGGCGGACCGGGCTGCTCTGAGGGCCCGTCCTGGAGAGATGTCCCGGACTGTGGGCACGCAGGAATCCCCAAGGGGCACTTGAGGCTGGGTCCAGGCAGAATCTTAGTGGCTCAGCTGCTACTGGGAGGACTGACTGTTGCAGAGTAAAGGGAAGCCTGAGAGTGCTGAGAAACACATCTGTCATTCAGATTCTATCATGGGGCGCAGTGGCCGCGGTTGTCAGTGAAAATAAGTAGTCTATACATCAAAAGCTGGGCAGGTCCAGAAGTGGTCACTCTCCCCCTGGCATGGGCTTATGAGGACCATTTTCTTAAATTTCAGGAAAGGAGCTCATTGCCTGTGAGAGGTAGAGGCAGGTATGTGGGCAGTTGGCCGGGATCAGAACTCACTACACACTTTGTGCCTATCTCTGGCCCTCTGCCTCTAGGGCGCCTGTCCTGGTGGTCAGACTTTTATATTTAACATCTTGGTTGAGCTTATCATTCACATGCCGTGCAATTCAGCCACTTAGAGTGTGCCAGGCAGTGTTTGTTTTGCATAGTCACGGTTGGACAACCATCACCCCAGTATAAGTTGAGGATATTTTCATCACCTCAAAAAGAAGCCCGGTACCCCTTAGCAGTCATCACCCCCACTCCTATCTCTTTGTAGCCCTTGGCAACCTCTAATCTGCTTTGTGTATCTAAATTTGCCTATTGTAGACTTTTCATATGAGTGGGATCATAGAATGTGTGGTCCTCTGGGACTGGCTTCTTTCACTGTCCACAATCTTTCCAAGGTTCATCCACGTAGCATGTATCAGTACTTCATTCCTCTCTATTGCCAAATGTAACATTCCTTTGTGCGTGTGTGTGTGTGTGTGTGTGTGTGGTTGCTGCACCCCTGCCCATGTCCTGACCACTGGCCGAGGGAGGACACTAGGGCCTCAGTGTTCCTGCTGGGCCGGGCAGCTGGCAGGACTTCCCAGCTGTCCAGAGAGAGAGGAGGGAGTAGGGTCAGACTCCCAGGCAGATGGGGGCCCCCCCTCTGATTGGCACTTGGTGTCAGGTGGGCCAGAGTCACCCCGAGTCTCCCTTTTCACCAACTCCCAACCCTGCCCCCCAGGGACGTCTCCTCAGTGGAACTCCTCATGAAGTATCACCAGGGCATCCGGGCGGAGATAGAGACCCGCAGCAAGAACTTCAGCACCTGCCTGGAGCTCGGCGAGTCCCTCCTGCAGAGGCAGCACCAGGCCTCGGACGAGGTGGGCTGGCAGGACGGACACGGGTTCTCTCCTGTTCTCGCCTCCCCTCCTGCCGGGCCAGACAGCTTCCTGGGAGGGAGCCTGTGGGCCATGGAGGCTCATCTTTCTTTCGCCCCAGGAGCACTGGGGCTCTGTGCCGGCCCAGGGATTTACAGCCTCACCAAACCCATTCAAGGAGCTGGCCTCTTCAAAGGGAGAGTGGGCTCATAACCCTCCTAAACCCTCTCATGTGTGTGTGCTTTGCGCTTGGCGACCCCCACTCCCTGGGTGAGGCACATGTTAACCTCAGAGAGGTTAAGTAACTTGGCCAAGGCTACACAGCTGGCAGGGCCAAGACTCAAAGCCAGGGCAGTGTGACCAAGGCCAGCCGGCTTTGCAGGGCCCTTCCACACACCACCTCCAACGGTGGCAGGAAGGGTTACCTACCAAAGCCTGAGCCACCTTCCCTTCCTCCCCGCAGATCAGGGAGAAGCTGGAGCAGGTGGTGTCCAGGAGGGAGGAGATGAAGGAGAAGTGGGAGGCCCGCTGGGAGAGGCTCCGCATGTGTGAGTGAAGCCTGGGAGCCAGGCAGTCGGGGAGGGGCGGGTGCAGGGAGGGGTGATGTCACAAGGCGGTGGAGGAGAAGACCCCACCCCACCTCGCAGCACCACTCATCCGCAGAACTCAGGGCCGGGGGCCTCGGGGGGGCCCACGGAGAAGACCCAGCAGACACGCTGCTGGAAGCCCACCTCTGAGCCAGCACCCGCTTCCTGTCCACCCTCTGCCCCCGCCCCCGCCTCCTGCTGGACAGGTGTCCCCGTAGAGCTGTGGCCTCTCCAGGGGTCGGGGTAAGGCCCTAGTGCATCCCAGGTGCTTGACCTGCGGCGTGTGCTGCACAGAAGCGGCTCTGTCCCCCGCGGCTGGAGACCGGAGAGGCGGGGAGAGCCCACCACTCGGATCGAGGCTGCAGAAGGACCTGGTCTCTCCCATGGCCTCTTGTGCACGTCTGTGAGCAAGGGAGACAGGCTGGGAAGACAGCCCGGCTCCACATCTGTCTGCGCGCGGACCTCCCCTAGGCTCCCTAGGTTTGGGGGGCGCTCACAGACCCCTGGCCTTGTCTCGGCAGTGCTGGAGGTGTGTCAGTTTTTCCGGGATGCCTCCGTGGCCGAAGCATGGTTGATCGCCCAGGAGCCCTACCTGGCCAGCCGGGACTATGGACACACGGTGGACAGCGTGGAAAAGCTCATCAAGAGGCATGAGGCTTTTGAGAAATCTGCGGCCAGCTGGGAAGAGCGCTTCGCTGCCCTAGAAAAGCCCACCACGGTGAGCTGGGGGCAGGAGGGTGACCCAGAGCGGTGGACAGCCACACCTTGGGGGTCCCTCCAGTCGAGAGTTCTTAGGCGGTTTTGGGGGACCTGTGGACAGTGTAAAGGCTGAACAAGTGGGGAGAGTGGGAAGGAAACACAAGGAGGAGGAAGGATGGACCTTTGAAGGCAAGAGACAAGAGGGGCTGATTCTGGAAGGGATGAACATCAGATGTGTCGGGTACAGGGAGCCTCTTTCGAGGAAGGCTGTCTCCAAGCTGGCTCCCCTCATGGCTGCTCTGACTCCTTGGCCTTTTCTTTCCCTAGCTTGAGCTCAAAGAGCGCCAGACCCCGGAGAGAACCGAGGAGGAGCCTGGGTGAGTGTGGGGAGGACTGGCTGGAGCACTCTGCTGGGGGGTGGGGGCGGTGAGGGGGAGGACAATGCTTCCACTTGAAACAGGCCCCCTGACGTTTTGACACACCACCTGTGACCTCTCACACCTGGGCCATGGGTCAGAGAAATCCAGAGTGTCTGGAGCTTAAAGGCAGAGAAGAGACTTCATTTCCCCGCAGTCTTGGGTGTCCTGCAGTCTTCATGGGAGAAGGATGAGGCGGGTGGGCCGTGGCTGCTGCACCGTCGCCCCCCTGCTCTGGGAACCAGCTGAACACGTGTTCCGGAGGCCAGGCTGCCTGGAACCAGCCTTTTCTGAAGCATCTGCTCTCACTTTGCAGATTGTGGAGCGTCTGCCAGGCTGCAGACTTGGCTTGTGTTTTCTGGGGAGGAGGTGGGAAGCCAGGCCTTGGAGATGGGCTCCGGCCTCCTAGAGGTGCTCATTTCTGAAGCGGGACATTGTTTTCCATAGGCTTCAAGAGGAGGAAGGCGAGACAGCGGGGGAGGCTCCCCGAGGTCCCCACCAAGCCACCACTGAGAGAACATCCCCGGTCAGTTCCCTGTCCCGTTTGTCTAGCTCCTGGGAGTCATTGCTGCCAGACACCCATCGTCCCGACTAGGCTCTGTGGGGGCAGAAGGCCAGGATGGGCACACTTCCACCCTCCCCAGAATCCTTCCACCACTCTTCCTTTTTTACTTAGCTTTTCTTAATTTCTAGAATAATTCCCCTCCACCCCTCAATCAAGAAGAAACTGACATGCCAGCCCACTGACATGACTCTCTTGGTTTGGTTTTATCTGGTCTAATAAATTTTGTTATATAAACACATCCCCATCTCCATCAGGGGGAACAGTTTTTACAGCAGGGATGATCCCCTTTTATACACTGTCCTTTCCCCCCGACACCGTCCCTAACTCAGTACCCCCTGCACACGCACACATCCACACACACACACATACTCACAAATGGACCGTGTGGTCTCCCTGCCCCAACCGTGGCATTTAGGGGGCTGAAGTGGGCACCTTCACCCTCGAGTAGACTCCTTCCACTGAAACAGAGGCCCCTCCCCACTTTGCACCTTCCTGGCCTGATGCCTGTGGGTCAGTGAGCTGGAGACAGAGATGATTCTGAGGCAAGAACGGACTTGAGGGGGCCCTTCAGGAGGAAAAGAGACCCCCAGGTATTCTGCCTCAGAGGTTTCCAGCTTGTAGAAGGGAGGATGGGGAGGATGGGGTACCCAAGGCCCAGATGTCGTCAGGGCCTTGCCTGGCATAGATCCTTTAGCTGAAAGGACCCGGGAGGTCTATGCAGGAAGTCTGGGAGGCTGTGACCCCGGTTTTGGGGAAATGTCCTGGGAGCCGCTGACTGAGAAGAAAGCAAGAACCCAGCATGTGCCTTGCATGGCTTTGCTGCTTCATGTCCACCACCTGTGCAGGTACCCAGCTGAGCTTGCCTGAACCTTTAGGAGCTCTTGGTGGAAATTTATGGTACGACATCAACCCCAGAAACATGCATGTCCTGTGAAGAATCCCCATCTGATCTAGATTTCAGCCCTTCCCACACTTCTCACACTTCACACACACACACACACACACACACACGACACAGACACACCCACACGACACAGACACACCCACACAGACACACACACACGACACAGACACAGACACAGACACACACACACACACACACACACACACACACACACACACACACACCCGAGGCTTCCCAGGTGACTCAATGGTNGAGCTGCCTCCAGCCCCACCAGAGGCCTCCCTTTCTGAGCTGCACCAGCCCGTCATGTCCAGCAGAGGGCACTCCTGGGCTCCCGCTGGAGGGTCTCTCCCAGGAGTTCCCACTGAAGATCCCATTGTGGCAGTGTGGGGGTCTCCGGTGAACTTCGCCCTGGCCCCCTTCCCCTTTCCCAGAGACAGTCCCACTGGAAGGAGAGAGAACTCTGGTGGGGGCTGGCACGGACTGCAGACACTGGGGCTGTGACTGTTCCTGCCACCTGCGCTTCAGCTGTGCGTCCCGTGTGTCTGCGTGCGGTGGTGTCCCAGGTCTGCGGGTTCCTTTGTGACTGCCTGAGCGATCCATCCATTGTCTGTGTCATGTACGTCTGTGCAAATGTAATTACATGTGCATCAGAGCTGCCTCCATCCAACACTTGAGTGCCGCTGGATCTGGGGGGAATAAAACCTGCTTGGACCTGAGAGTCTCTCTGGGAAAAGGGAGTGAGCCCACACTTGAGACCCTTTCCAGAGAGCCAGCCACCCTGCCAGATGGGGCAAGTGGCCTGCGCACGGTACCAGGAAGAGACCAGATGGCGAATCAAATGAACACCAGGCCCAAGGCCTCATGCAAACAGATTTCCTGCTGCTTCTCCTTTCCCAGCCCTTTGTTGAGTTTTCATGAGGATCCATGGAACTCCAGGGGGGAGAGTGGGATACCCCCTTGTTCTTTGACATGAGAAGAGTGGAGAAAGAGTCCCACGCAGGTTGGAAAACCTTTCCAGAAGCTGCAGGCCCCTCCCAGGAAGGCCAGCTGAAGGAAGGCCCGCTGAGCCTTCTCTCGGGCTGGGCCTGGCTGTCACACTGTCCTGTCTCTGTGGTCTGGTGTCGGGGCCCTGTGGGACAGATCCGTGCTGTGTGTGCTCTGGTGTCGGGGCACTGTGGGATACATGTGTGCACTGCGGCTTCCCGTGAAACCCATCACTAGTGCATGCCACTTCCTGCTTGGGGGAGCAGACCAGGCACCTGAACCCCTGTCTGGACCGCTGCACAGCCCACGGTGAGCACCCTGCCAGCCCTGCCTGCTCCTCCCTTCCCTGGTGTGCGCCTGGGTGTGCACGCACACACACATACACACACACACACAGAGGCATGGGCTGGAGTACTATTCCACGCATTCGGTTTTTCCCTCAAGCATATCATCATCGTACAATCCATTGCCTCCATCACTTCCTAGCTTTCCATGTTAGAGCATGTTCTGATTTAAAGGGGAAAAAAAATTCATTCTACAGGTAAGTATGCGGGAGTGCATGAGACCAAGGAGAAACAAGTTTTCACAAATGGCAAAATTCCTGGAGTGAAATTTTGAAAGTCTGGACATTGGGTTCTAGTCCTTCATTGTAGCAATGTCATGTGAGATTTTAGACAAACCCCCTAACCTTGCCCTTTATAGAGCGCTCTCTGCAGGATTACAGAAAGTCCAGGACATTCCTGTATGTGAACCATGTACCTAAATAAAGGGAGGGTGGGGAGAGAAGGATTTCCCCACTTTCATGGTGTTCTCAGCTCTGAGGAACCTGGTTCAGTGGTCAGGTGCCAGCAGGTGTGAGGCTGGAGATGGGAAGAGATGGCAAAGGGCTAGGGTGTTTTTCTTGGTTGCCTGGGGAAGAGAGGAAGGCAGGGTTGAACCTCTGCTCCTGCCAAGGCCGGGGCCCTGAAGGTGGCTCTGGGGTAGCAGAGGGGGACCTGGCAGCAGGCTGAGGCTCCCCCCACAACACCCTCCACTTTATATGTCTCTCCTTCACCCTGGGTGCAGCTCTGGGGAGGGCTCGGAGGTTCTGCTAAGCATCCTCATCTGCTTGGCTCTGGCTACCTCGGAATCCACAGAGTAACATTTGTGGTGAGATGCTGAGGTTGATTTATGGAGAAGAAATGGTACTGCAGATGATCTGAACCAACCCAGGCTTGGGGGCCCCCAACCCCGGAGCCTCTTCTGTGCCCTGTGCCTGTCTCCTGGCCTCGAGAGGGAAGCAAGGCCTGCTCTAGGAACTCTCCCAGTGGAGCTGCTGTAATGAGGAGCGAGGACCCTGAAAAGGGTTGGTGCTTCTGGAGGGCTGCCACAGCAAGAAAGAATCTGCCTTTGGGGTTCACTGTTTTGGGGCAAATGTGCCCTGTCTTACTCTGAGCCTCCAGGCTGGATTCCTCTGTGGTGCAGGGACTCTGGGGCCAGGCCACTCCAGAAAGCAGCTGCCTGGATGCGTTTCATTATCAGGCTTTCATCAGGTTGTCAGGGAAAACTCTCTTAGCCAAGCGCAGCTCATAGACATCACTCTTCCCCATGACCTTCCAAGACTGCCTGCAGCTGGCTTTCCCGAGGGAAGACTCGCCAACTCATCTGGGATGAATAGGAGGGTCCAGACCCCCAGGTCCCTTGTCTCTCCCTTCCAGAGCTTTAGAGGTTGATGTGGCTTCAGGCAAGCTACCAGCACTTTCTAACATGAGGGTTAGTGTCCCGGGGTTGAGCGGGCACTAGATTGCAGCAGCTCACCTTTCCGCCAGTGCCTGGTGGCTTCAGCTGCTGTCACCACCTCAGCATTACCCACCCCCCGCACCCCCCACCCCCAGCCCCGAGCACCAGCCTCCACGGCAGGCAGCCTAGAGCTTTAATCAGCTGCCAGAGGGCCAGACTCTGACGTCCTTAGAGGGAAGGGATGTGGGTGTGGATGCAGCAGCTGTGTTTCTTCTTGCCTGAGCAAGCTCTCTCCATCCTTTCTACCGGATCGTTTCTCCCCTCCCACTCTGAGGCCAAACTGAGCTGCTGGTTCAGGCGTTTTTGCAGCGAAGGCAAATGGTGTGTTTGTCCGTAATGAGCAGACCCGGTCTGGAAAGAACATCAGTTTTCCCACGAACCTGGGTGTGTCTGTCTCCCCAGAATGCCTGAATCAGCATGGCAGGGCTGTGTCTGCCTACAGCCTGGCACCACGCCCTGGAACTCCGGGGAAACTGGCTCTAGGCTCTTTCTGGACATCTGTCCGAGGCTGGGTGTGTCTCACTCTCTATGCTGAGGTTGGGCGTGATCTTCCCATCCCTGCTGCTCAAAGGCAGCCCCTAAGTTTGCCTGCCAGTCCATGTTTCAGAGCATCCCAGATCCTGATAGACCCAGCATGGGACTCAGTTAACACTGAAGGCATCTCAGAAATGAGGTTGGAAGTTGCCAACTTGACCTCTGGGTGTCAGATCCAGATGGGGGAGTCAATGTCTTCCTTTTGGTCTGAGTGCCTGGCTCAGAGGCATTAAGCAGCTTCCAGTTCTTCACGGCAGGGACCTGAAGAGCCCACGTTGGTTGTAGGAATGGCAAAGACAGCCCCTGAGGAAGCCTCGTTCTCTCCCCCAGGATGATCATGGGGGAGACCTTCCCTGTCCAAGGGGACCCTGCGCACTCCCCCTCCGTCCCCCTGGCTTCACCTGGTGGCCTTCTGCTCTGCATCCCTCCCTTGTCTTCCCTGGTTTCTGGTGACTGGACTCTCACCGCAGTCCTTCATCTCTCAGTTCAGTCGCTCAGTCATGTCCGACTCTTTGTGACCCCATGGACTCCAGCATGCCAGGCCTCCCTGTCCATCACCAACTCCCAGACTTTACTCAAACTCATGTCCGTGGAGTCAGTGATGCCATCCAGCCATCTCATTTCATCTCTTAAACGTCCTCCAGAAGAATTCTAACAGTCGGCCCCCGGGGCACAGGGCTGAGCCACTCCTCATGAGAGCTTCTCCCCTCGGCCCCCAACCTGGAGGACTCCCCACCTGGCGGGCCTCAGGTCTTCCCACGTGTTTCCCTCTGTTTAGAAACAACTCTGTTCCCTCTTCCGGCATTTGTCTCTGCTCACCCTCCATTCCCATCTCTCTGGCTGCTCTCAACTCTTCTCTTGCAAACAAATGTCTTTTGAACAGCCTTCCCAGCCTGTCTGCTGAGAGCCCTCTCACCCAGACAATGAAAGCCCAGACCGCAGCATTTAGGGAAGGAAGAAGTTCTCGGCTGCAGAAGTAGCCAACTTCCCCTGCCCCATCGCCTCACGGGGCTATCTGGTTGCCTAAGGCATCCAACCCCTCTTCTGGCCCTTTTCGGCATGGCTGTGACACAGTCCCACTGCCTCAGCCCATCAGCCATGCATCTCCTGTAAGCCAGACTCCCCCTTTAGACCATGAACCCCATTGGATAGACCCTTTTTCCTGAGCAGCAGTGCCTCCCCATCTCTCGCAGCAGGATTTAGTGGGAAGAGCTCAGGGTTTGGGACCAGACCACTGCATCCTCATTTCACTCAGTAGTTGTGTGACTCTGGGCCCGTTACTCATTCTCCCTGACCCTCAGTTTCCCTCATCTATGAAACAGCCATAGTGACACCCACCTCTCAGAAAGGGTGTGAGGATAGGAAGAGAGAATGCAGGTAGAACACCTAGTAGGTGACTGCCTTCATTTTCCCTTCATTCTCTCTCCATCTCTCACCACAGTCCTTCATCTCTTAAACGTCCCCCATAAGAATTCTAACATTCGTTGCCAAAACCCCCCCAAACCAGCCTTCCTGCAGCACGCCTCCCTGGAGACCCGCTACACACACTCGAAGCTCAGTTCTTGCTGTGAGGTAAGTGGGTAAGACCTCTCACAGCTAAGGTCAAATAGTCTTGGGGATGCATCCTCATACCCCATTTCTCACTTACCAGCATTTGCTTCAGAGAGAAGTTCACTTGCGTTTCCTTGCTTGTTCATGTATCTGGGATCACTGAGCATCTTCTAGAACACCTGCGACCCAGTGATCACACCCCGGGTGATTTTTCTCCCTGGCTGGAGACGTAGTTGTCTGTGTGCTGGCCCCCTTTGCCACCTGCTGGCTGGGCCTGGTACTACACCTTCAACCAAGGGGTTGGACCCATCCTGTCCCCCTCCCTTTCATCTTCTTGAAAGTCCTCTGGCAGGGAGACATCTGCCTGCGTTCCCCCGCCCAAGTCAGCTTCCTAGTAAGACAGGACCCTAAAAAGTCAAGCGTCCAAGACTCTGCAAAGACTCTGAGGTGGCCACGCCCTGCCGGTCAGGAGCTCAGGCCTCTCCTTGTCTGATTACAGTCCTGTGAGGTCCTAAAATGTTCTCCTGCCCATGCCCTTTCCTCCCCTGATGGTCCCCCAGCAGCCAAGGCTGCCTGTCCCCTACCCCCCTCTGACGCTTTGATCCCAGCAGCAGCGCACACACCTAGCTCAGATGAGTCCTACCCACCTACCAGTCCCCTGGGCCCCCAAACCAGAGAACAGAAGCTCCAGGCTGATTCCAGGCGCCACCTCGGGCCCTTCTCTCTCCTGCTCTTACTCCCACTCATGGTCTAAACTCTCCATCCATCCCGACCCGACACCCAGAGTTTCTCCCAAGTGGCTGAATCCTCCTTTTTTCAGAGTGCCCCCCCCCCCAGCTCCTCTGGACAAGGGCTCTAGGCTGGGCTATCCCTCAGGTGGAATCTATGCATCCTCCTGATGACCGAAGGGCCGGAGCAGCACGCCTGCCTTCTGCCACCTATCACAGAGGATAGAAGGGAGTCAGATTGTCTCAGCTATTCAGGCCCTTTTAATAGAACATGCCTGTCCCTACAGCACACACGTAGCCAGCACCCCCTCCTGGTATCTGCTGTCCACTGATCCCTCTGCCTGCAGAATCTGTATCAGAGCACAGTATGGTTCCTGGGACAGCAGAAGTGCCTCCCCTGCTCTCCTAGAAGATGGCACAAAACATATTTACCCCTGGAGACTATAAAAGGAGGACACTTTTGCCCAAGGCATGCCCCTGTCTTTCTCCTGTGTCCCTTCCCCCAGCTCAGGAGGGAGAGAAGCCCTGGGTCTGAAAGGAGCAGCTGCCACCAGACCCCTCCACCTCCCACCCTCATTCTTGGCTCTCACCTCCTCTGGCCTTAGCCTTCAGGGTAGAGGGGCGAAGATGTATTTTGTCTTATTTTTTTTTTTTTCGAAGATGTATTTTAAATTGTCTCCATGTGAATAGTCAAGAAAACAGAAGAAATCTTTGCATACATCAGAAAACCCCTATTTTCCAAAGCCCACCCACAACCTGGCCACTTTTGATCACACTGGCCATGGCCTCTGACTGTCCCTGCCAGGGAATGTGGATCAAGCACCCATCAGGATGAAACAGAAGAAAGGTGAAATTAAGTCGGGAGGCAGTCCTGGAAATATGTGTGTTTTCAGAGGAGAGTTCCCAAAAGGAAAGGAGAAGGGAAATGAAAGTATAGGAAGAAAATGTGGATACACAAGCCTGTAGTAAAACCAGTCCCGGGAAGGTAAAGGCTGAGTGAGGGGGTGAACAAGGCCGAGAGGTTCTGCTGGGTTTTCCTCCCAGCATCTGCCAGGGCATCTTCCATGAGCTGCCAGGGAGTGCCAGAGGGCCTGGCCTATTGCCAGGAGGGGCAGAGAGGCCAGCTACCTCCCCGACCTCTATGCCTGAGTCAGAGGGTTGGCCTGATTGGGTCCACAGAACCCAGGCTCCCAGGCTCAACCCGCCACTCCTGCCCTTCCTCCCTGCTGGAGGATGATCCAGGCAAGGCCTTAGGGCCCCCAGAGCCTTGTGGTCAATTCCGGCTCATTGCCAACACTCAAAACATATAAATCCTGCAAGATGCGTAAAGATAGGTGTGGCCCAGCCACAACTCTCGAGAGGCTCTAAGACAAGGAAAAGATGAGAACCCTAAGGATGTGATAAAAAGTCAGGCCTGCCCAATTCTTCAGTGCATGCTCTTAACTGGAAATGAAAGCTGTGTGACCCTGGGTAAGTTTCTTAATGTCTGAGTTCAGATTGTCTCATGGATTGAAGGTGTTGGACTAGAGTAGTGATTTTCAACCTTTTCCAGCCATATTATTCCTTTATTTAAATAGGATCTTAGGGAACCCCAGATTAGTTTGTTGACTAGTCCTAATTTAGGGGATACAAACATGACCAGCTTTACCTTTCTTCCAACCACTGCCGTCAAACGTTTCCACTGAACCTTCACTTCCCACTCCTTACTTCCAGCTCTGGCAGACATTGATCATTTTTAACTGTTAAAAAGCCCAATCAGTCTCTTTCAGTTTGAAGCTTCGATCTGATGTCCAAAATCACACCCAACTCCTCTCATTCTCCATTTCTCTATTTTGGATTTGATCCAAGGTCTGAAGGACCCACAGTGGGGAGCACAGGGTCTGCTCTTTCCTGGCTCCTCCCCAGCACCCTCCTGGGCCTCCATCTTCAGTTGGGACAGGGAGTAGAAGAGGGCAGAGTCTCCTTACTGCCTGAGGTGGCTCTGGCCCTCCTGGGCTGTCAATGGCCTTGGCCCTTCAGGTTGTCCATATACTGCCTGCTTGGGGGCTACAAGACCCTTCCCACCTGCTGCTGTAAGGTCTTCAGCAATCAGACCTTTGAGGCAGAGTTCTGGCCAGATGTCTCCAGCTAGGCTGCCTTCCTGGGTGCTTATTTGGCACATAGAAGATCCACCCATTCCTGACCCAGCTGGCATTCTTGTGCTGCACTCGAGAGCAGGCTGCCTCTTGCTCTCTCCTGATGCGGTGGCACAAAAGTAGATCAGCAAGGCTCTGCATAAGGAGCTACCCAGCCGGGGGACAAGAGTCTGCTCCTCCTTCTCATAGGCACCTGACATACAGCCCATGGCTGCACTAGAAGCCCCTCACTTGGCTTGGCTGGGGGCTGGGAGCATCCTGCCTTCCATTTAGTTCAGTTCAGTTGCTCAGTNTGATTCTCCATCAGCACACTTGAGCGCATGAAAAGCTTATTAAGAAATACCAATGTGCAGACCCCACTCCAAGCTAGTTAACTCAACATCCTGAGGATGGGTCCTGCACATATTTTGTTAAAGCTCTTGAGGTGATTGTTAAAGGCAGCCGGGGTTAGGAACCACTGCCTTCCTCCAGCAAATCCCCACCAAATGAAGGGGGTAGGACCAGTTATCCCTCCCATGAGCTGGGAGGGTCTGGGTTTCCCTGGTGGCTCCATGTAAAAGCCACTCACCTGCCTATGCAGGAGACACGGGTTCAAATCCTGTGGGTAAGCCCCTGGCCCAGCCCCTTCAGCTCACTCTAAGGACCTTCTGCTCCTATTGAGGTTGGAGAGGGGGAGAGTTTGGGGAAGCAGGCCAGGTAGACACCCACAGCAGGTTGGGGGAGGGCCAGGGTGGGTCGGGGAGGGCACAAGAGAGAGGAACCAGACTCGGGTGAGGCCTGCTGACCTCCCCTGTTCTGCTGAGAAATGTCCATCCCGGGTTGAAGCCCTCAGCAAGATGCGCTCCTCCCATATGCCCTGGAGCAGGGGGAAGAAGAGAGGCCGTGGCCCCAGGACCTGCAGCCGCCACCCCCGCCAGGGCCCCACGAGGACGGGCAGGAGGAGAAATCCAGCACAGACGAGAGGCCTGCCACAGAGCCCCTCTTCAAGGTCCTCGACACACCGCTGAGTGAGGGTGACGAGCCTACGACGCTGCCGGCCCAGCGGGACCGCGGGCACAGCGTGCAGATGGAGGGCTTCCTGGGCCGGAAGCATGACCTGGAGGGGCCCAACAAGAGGGCCTCCAACAGGTGTGTCCGGGAGGGCCCGTAGGATGGGCAGAGCAATCCAGGCAGTCTGTGCATGAGGAGGCCCTCCGCCTCTAGTCTGAGAGTCTGAGAGTTCCCGAGCGCCTTCTGGGCCAACTCCAGGGGGTTACTGGGCATGGTGGGAAAGCCTGTCTTCAGCTGTGGGCCTGAGTTCAAATCCTATGACCTCACACTAGTTACTCAGCCTCTAACCTGTAACATGGGGGTGGTGCCATGCCTAGTGCAGAGCAGAACACTAGCTGGTACTATGCCAGGGCAGGGTAGCAGGTAGGGCTTGGTACTAACAAGACCTACCTGTCCTTGACCCAGTCCCGCTTTTTACCCAGTCTGGGCCTCAGTTTCCCCAGCCATAAAATAGGGAAGGAGAAAGAGCCGACCTAAATGCCATCTGGAGGGCCCTCCTAGGAATGATATGACCCTGAGGAATTCATTCAGAGGCAGTCGTGCCCTTGAGTGTGATCTACCCAGGGGATGCCGCGACCCAAAGTCTCTAGGGGCCTCTGCCTTCAGGCAGCGGTCCAGGGTCTCAGAGAAACAGGGCAGCATCAAGAGGTTGAAGCCAGCTCTATTCCCAGGGCCAGCTGGCAGCATACAGAGGGCCTGGCCTGGAGGACACACCAAAGCTATTTCAAATTCCAAATGAATTTGGGGCCTGACCACCCTGGAGAGGTTTATTGCTTTATATGAAGGATCTGCAGGAGAGAGGAAACTAGCATTTATAAAGTATCTACCATGTGGCAGGCATTATATCAGGACTGACAAAGTTTTCACAACCACCTTGTGATATTGAGGTTTCCATGTTCCAGATGGGGGAAACCATCTCAGAGAGGTTGTCCTTTGTCCAAGGCAGGATTTTACTCCTTAGCAACTGCCTTACTTGGGCTACCAGCTCAGAGAAGTTGGTGAGGGCCAGATCTGAGCAGAGGATCCCTGAGCTGGTGTCAGAAATCTAAATCTGGGCTTTGTGGAATGACTCTGCACCCATGTTTGAACGGGTCAAGTTCTCTCTTTGACCTTCCAGTCCTTCCTCCCTATGTGTCCTGCTAGTTCTCCACCTTTCTGCCCTCAAAAAGGAGTTGGCGGGGGCTGGGGGTGGGGTGGTTGTGAGGAAGAGGAGGAAGAAACGCTTAATGTTTCTCAGCACTCATTACTGTCGAAGGGCAACGTGCTCTGTATTTGTCAAAGAAGGAGCTCAGGTGAACTCCTTTATGAGCTCATGTGTTGGTTGTTCTCACCAAACCTCCCATTTGAGTTGAGCCTTGATTTACGCAAATATGTTCCTTTAAAAAAGTGCTAGCACAGTATACCAGGCATTTATCATCAATAAAACAAAATACCCCTACCACCAAAACAAAACTCAGCTCTGTTTATGTTACAGTTCTGTAGTGAGACTCATGGGCTGTAGGGAGACTCAAACCCTCTCCAGTATTCTTGCCTGGACAATCCTGTGGGCAGAGGAACCTGGCGGGCTTCCATCCATGTGATCACAAAGAATCAGACACAACTGAGCGACTGAGCATTCAAGTGAGGACTGCAGGTGACCTGCCTGTGTGCACCTTCACAGGTCCTGGAACAACCTGTACTGTGTGCTCAGGAACAGTGAGCTGGCCTTCTATAAGGATGCCAAGAATCTGGCCCTGGGGGTGCCCTACCATGGGGAGGAGCCCCTGGCCCTGAGACATGCCATCTGTGAGATTGCTGCCAACTACAAGAAGAAGAAGCACGTCTTCAAGCTGAGGTGAGGCCCTGCCTGTCCACTGCTCCTTCCCTGGTGGCTTGGTTTGGCCTAAGTGGCCAGTCAAGCTTCCACTGTGCATGACCGGCTGCAGGCCTGAGGGGCCCCTTGGGGATTTTTTCCAATTAGAGAGGCTGGTGGCCCTGATTTCTGCCTCTCAAGGAGCTGTGCCGCCTGACAGGGTCCTGGTCATGGGAAAGCTCGGGGGGCTGGGGGGTCAGGTCCAGAGGTGGCCACGGGGGAAACCCTTTGTCCTAGGCTAAGCAACGGCAGCGAGTGGCTCTTCCACGGCAAGGATGAGGTAAGTAGGGCTGCCTGGCCCTGACCCCCGCCAACAAGGGGCAGGTGGGAGGGACCCAAGCCCCTTGGCCTCAGGCCCCCTCAAAAAGGGTCCTGGAGGCGCCCCGTCGTCTGCGGGTCCTGACCCTCCCGCCCTGCAGGAGGAGATGCTGTCCTGGCTACAGGGCGTGAGCACGGCCATCAACGAGTCCCAGAGCATCCGCGTCAAGGCACAGAGCCTGCCCCTTCCCCCCATCACCGGCCCCGACGCCAGCCTCGGCAAGAAAGACAAGGAGAAGAGATTCAGCTTCTTCCCCAAAAAGAAGTAGCCTCTCGGGCGCCCGGCGGGTGAAGCCGGTGCGTCGTTGGGACGTGCAGGGACTAGCGCCTCCCTCCTCGGCAGGGCTTTCCTCCCGCCCACGGCCCGGCCGCCGCCGCTGCCTGCCTCCTGCCTGCTCTGAGCTGCCGGCCGGCCGGCCGGGCGCAGGCCCCGCTGCACTGCGATCGCTGCCTTCGCCCGCCCGGCCCGGCCCGGCCCACGCCTGCCTCCGCGCCCTCCGCCCCGCACACATCGAGCGCGGACTCCAGGGACGCGGCACCCAGCTCCGCGGGCCCTCGGGGCCTCTGGGTCTGGGGGCAGGAAACGGTTTTTGAGGCCCAAACCCTCCTCCCCCCACCCTCCTTACGGGGCACCAGCCCCCACCCCCCTATTCCCACACAAGCTGGAAAAGAAGGCTTGATAGGGGTTCCTCAGATGCTGAGAAGTGAAAGTGAAGTCGCTCAGTTGTATCTCTGCGACCCCATGGACCCAAGCCTTCTCCGTCCATGGGATTTTCCAGGCAAGGGTACCGGAGTGGGTTGCCATTTTTTCTCCAGGGGATCTTCCTGCCCCAGGAATCAAACCTGGGTCTCCAGCATGGCGGGCAGATGCATTACCCTCTGAGCCACCAGAGAAGATTCCTGAGATGCTGCCCACTCCGAAAGCAAGTGTTGCCTGGGGCCCTGTCCCACTAGGTCGCAGCCAGGGGGAGAGAAGATGTCCTTGGGAAGGCCCGACCTGCCCCCAGGGGTGTGAAGAGGGAGTCTTCAGGAAGCTCTGGGCCAGGGGCCGCTGCCTCCCCACCTCAGGGGTCACCGCAGCCCCTCCTCCCACAAAAAGAGGGGGCACTGTCCAAAATCGTTGGTCGTAAGAGCAAGGGGCCTCCCACCACCTCCAGCACCTCCTTGCTGCCACCGGGCCAGGCGGCGGTTGGACCGTAAGCTCTCAAGCCGGCCCTCTTTTTTAAAACTACAGCTAGAGTTTAGGGCTCAGGCCGGAAGGTGGCAGTTGAGACTTCCACACTGCCCCAGGCGCCACCTCTCCACCCTGGGGTCTGCCGCACTCCCAGTAGCTGCCAGACCAGCAGTACCCCACTCAGACCCCAGGTCCCAGAGGGAGACAGTGCAGGTCCCCATACAAGATGGACACCGCAGCGCCTGCATTAGAGCATCCTAAAGCCAAATCCTCCATGCGTTCTGTCTGCAGCTGGCACCACCTGAGGGTGCTGGCTGGACCGACAGCAAAGTTCACGACCTGTCACCCTGAGGTGGCAGATGCAGCCACACCTGGGTATTATAACCCATGTAACAACCCCTGGAGAGCTGGGACAAATGCTGGGGCTGGAGCCATTACGATGTGGCAAGTACCCTTGCGCAGGTCCTCCTGACGGGCCTGGCCTGAGTCAGGGGGCTACATAGGTATCTGCCCCCCAATCCTGGGTAGAGCCAAAAGGGGTCCTGCAGCCTTTCTCCCCAGGGATAACTGTTCTTGTGCTGCCAAAGTCAGACATCTGGAGGGAGCAAACCACTGGTTCCACAGTATTCTTTCCACTACCCTCTGAAAGCAATACAGCTCCGGCCCAGCATCTTAACTTGGGTTAGGTCCAAAAGTGGGCTTGAGTTGCAGGCAGCAGACACTCCCCTGAGCAGAGCAGAAAGGACCCTGGGACCCACAGTTGCTGTCTCCATCACCTTCCCCATGGGAAGGAACCTTAGACACACTGAGAGATCCCCCAGAAGTGGGTGAGGCTAAGGCAGAAACCACAGGCATAAGCATCTAGGCCTTCCCAGGAGCCCCTAGTGCTCGAGATCAATTACTACTATGTCAAGGGAAGGCAACTTCAGCAGACAAGAACCACAGGAGGGAAGTTCACTGATGGGGCCTGACACGTGGTCCTATCTTGGGAGCCAGGGTTTTCATGTGTCCTCTATCCACCTATCCCTGTGGCCCTCTGTGCATCCACAGGGAACCTAATCTATACCACCCACCAACCTCTCTACACCTAGGGGAAATCAAGGCAGGAGGCAAAGAGGTAGTGACACTCACCTGGCAATAACAAAGGCCTCAGGTGCACCTGAAGGCATGTCCTGCTCCAGGATAGATAGCATGTTCCTTGCTGAAGAGCAGGTGGTGGCAAGTCTCTCTTGGCTGTCCCCATGGGCCAATCTGTGGGAGCCAAGACACTAGGGGCCACCCTCTCCCCTCCACGTGTGCTTCTGAAGTGAGGAATTTCAGCAAGCAACTCCACAGTCCCAAGAATGAAAGGGCCTCAAGGAAAAGCTAGGATTTTACCACCTCTGGGCCCCTGGACTGGGCAAGGGCAGCAGCCAGCTGCATGTGACCTACCATCTACCGACAACTTCCCATTCCCATGCACCCCTCTCCCATGTCACACAGGCCCCAAGACCCTTGACCAACTGGAATGAAACTGCAGGCACCCAGCTTTAGAACTCTGAGCCACATTGGGGGAGCGGGTTAAGCTCCTGGCGCCCTGGCAAGGTTTTTTTTCTTTTCCTCCTTATATTTTCTACTTTGCAGTCTTTTAACAGTATCCCCAAACAGCTCCAGTCCACACCAGCATATCAGGCTTCCTCCCCAGAGCAGTTTAGAGGAAGCTCCTTCTGGGCATGGTCAGGTGGTCCCCCTGCCCTCTCTTCTTCCCCTTTGTCCCCTGGCCTCAATGGACTGTGGCTGAGGGAGGTCAGGAGGGCCCTCGGGAGGCTTGGCTTCCCTGCCACCCCAGCCCTCCTTCCTGCCTATCGGAGGGCACGTAGAGTCCCCAAGGGTGGCCCTGGATCTCCTTCCTCCCTTCAGTGGGAGGGGGCAGAGATCCAGAAGACCCCATGGCTCGGTCCCTTGGACAAGCAAGCTCAGGGAGGATGCAACGGAGGAGGCGGCGGCAGACGACTGCAGCCCTGTCGGGCACAGACCATGCAATCTGGGGCTGGCCCTGGGGCCAACCGGGTCGTCCTCCACCTGCTCAAATGTGCTTCCACGAACCAGAGGAAACCCATTTACTAGTTTTTCTAATAAATCAATAATGCTCCATAATTCTATCTGGACTGTTTCCCTTTGAACTGGACAAAGAGGGCTGGTTAAGTAAGCAAGGCGGGATCTGTGAACCCAGGACCACCATGGAGACAGAGGTACAGCAAGGCCGATGACTTCTCCCTGGAGTATCATAGAAACAACTCCGCCAGCGCCCAGGTGCTGTGCTTCACTTGTGACCCTGAGAAAACTCACTTATTCATGCATTCAGCCGTCTTGTGGGACTACTACAGGGCTTTCCGCATGGAGAGCAGGACAGAGATCTGAATATCAGAATCCACACACCTGGGGTTCATTTCCGGAGTGAGTGCGCGTTAAGTCCCTTCAGTCGTGTCTGACTTTTTTCAACCCTAGGGACTGTAGCCTGCCAGAGTCCTCTGTCCATGGGATTCTCTAAGCAAGAATACTAGAGTGGGTTGCCATGTCCTCCTCCAGGTGATCTTCCCAACCCAGGGATCAAACTTGCATCTCTTCTGTCTCCTGTATCAGCAGGTGGGTTCTTTACCTCTTGTGCCACCTGGGAAGCCCATCATCTCTGGAGAGGCAGTTTCAACTGGTCTGGGTGAATGAAACCTAGGCATTGGCATTTTTCAAAAAGTTCCCTCTCTGGTGATTCTAATGGGCAACCAATAAGAACCACTGAGCTGGTTCACGGTTCCCAGGTATAACCTAGAGGGCTGTGTATGGATCTGCTAGGGAAAGTGTTCATTACTACCCCCTCCCCCAAGCCTTACCCCTTTAAGAGTCTGAGTCAGAGTTTGAGAAGCAACAACTCATCCATCCCCTTCAATTTATAGAGGAGGAAAAAGCAAGAGTTTAGGTGACCCAGCCAGTTACGTGCAGGGCTGGGTCTCCTGACTCTCATTCCAGTGTGTGACTTTTCGTTATAATCAGACTTGCCTGGTAGGAACCAGCACGCTCCTCAGCAACTGCGCAAGTGGCCACAGACCATTCCAGGCAGCTGGTAGAACATGGGCCAGACCGGCTCGGCTTCTGCCCAGGGAAGGCCTCCTCTTGCCTCTGATACTTCCTTGACCTCATTAGACTCAGCAGACTCATCTTTAGGCTGAGTCTATCCTCCTAGGTCAGAAGACATGCAAGACAGCTCTGCCAAGGGGCCCTGCAGCCCCAGTTCTCCCAGGCTCCAGCCAGACAGGGTGAAACAAGGCTGGTCCACCAAAGGAAAGGGGCAGAACACCCAGTTAGAAATAGGGAGGCATTCCTACCCCTTGGGAATCAAAGACACTTTTGTGAATGAGATGAAGAATGAGGCTCCATCTCAGAAAACATGCACTTGTACCCCTCACCTGATACTGCAAGCCACCTAAGATATTCCTAGGCTCTAAGTTTAGAATCCTCACCCTCTAGGATGCACTCTCTTGGGAACCAAAGAGGGAGAGAATAAAAGGCACCAGTCACGGAAATATCTGCCTATTAGAAAAACATCCCACCCTCCACCTTACCCCTTTCAATCCAACTTTGCCTCTTGGGAAAAAGAGCTAAAGGCTGGCATGGTACCCCCTGACCTTACCCTAGACAGGACGCCAGGCTATGGGTAGACAGAAGCCCACAGGAGTAGAAATAACAGAGAACAAGTCCCCTCCTGTACATTCTGCTGCCCCAGCCTCCCCCACCAGCACCTGGGTCTTGTGGTTTGTGAGCATGGCTGCATATAAGTGCATGTGAAAGTAAAAAGCCGAAGTCCCGCCTTCCCCTAAGACAGCTCTAGGCACAATCGACCCTTCCCAACCCAATCAGACCCCAATAAGGAGACCACACACCGGTTGGTTGGTCAGCAGTGGTTATTACACCATTGGCAAATAATGAAATGTGTGTACATTAGCGACAACCACAGGGCCAGCAAGACAACACACAAAAGTACCTGAATAGAGTCCATGACATTTTTCCTGGGAGGGGAGAAGCCACACACATACACACACACACGCATACACGCACGTGCGCACGAGAACACTAACATACCACAGGATGGAAAGCAATAAATTATGGGCCACGTGCCTGCCTGGATCCTAAGAAAAGGCACAGTTAAAGAGCAAAGCCTCCCCAGACCAGCTTCCTATGTGTCCCCTGGGTGGGCCCTGGGTCTGGCAGTGGCCAAGCAACGCTGGAGGCCTGAGCTGGCTTGCTCTCCCTGGGAAGAGATGAGTTTAAATATCTGGCTTCTTACCAGAACTATATACAAGGAAAGTGGCCACACAGGCCTCACAGGGGAAAGGGGCTCGTATGGGCCTATGTCAAGTTGCCGGCAAGTCCCGGTCCACGACAGGTGCTCTCCCGGGGCGGCCTTTCTGAGGGTCGGGAAGGGGGTGAAGTGAGCAAGGTGAGCCCAGCTATGGGCGCGGGTTCCTCCCTGCCCCTCAGCCCGGCGGGTCCCTACCCCAGGACTCAGAGTCAACCTATGGAGTTCAAGGCCTGGAATTTCTCCCTCAGGTTCCGCACTCTGCCCTGCTGGCTTTGGTCCGCTGGATCCCTGGGACCCTCTTCCTTAGGCCGATACTCTGCAGACTCCTGCAACTCCTGGTCCTTCCCCATCTGGGCAGCTGCAGAGCTCGGTCCCTGCCCGCTGGCTGCCTCCAGCCCCGCGGCAGGGCCCGGCAGGGGCCCCTTCTCCATGATGATCATCCGCCGGTTGTCCTCCAGCGTGAGGTCTGCGGTGACATGCAGGGCCTCCCCTCTGACAGGCTCACTTGGGGGCGACTCCCCCAGAGGCTGGGGCTGGGCCGCCTCTGGGCTCACCGGGGCCCTCCTGGCCTTGAGGCTGCCACAGCGGCCCAACCTGCCAGAGGGAGCCAGCTGCGGCTCCCTCATGTTCTCCGGCAGCGAGCGGCTCCGGTTGACTGGCACTTTGCTGGGCCAGCCACCCTTGGTCTGGAGTGCCTCGTCCCGGGAGGCGTACTTGGAGCAGAGCTCTCGGACATCAGGCCAGTTGAAGGTCTCAGTGTCGAAGGGGCTTCGGGGGCCGTGCCAGGCCCCCGGCGGGGTGGTCCTTGGACTGGTGGCCGAGGAGCTGAAGGAGATATGCCGTGGCGACATCTCCGTGGAAGAGCCAGGCCTGGGCGGGCTGCGCTCCTGGACAGCAGGCTGCTCGTGGTTGGAGAGAGACGGCCCCGGCTTGCTCACACCTGTGGGGAGAGAGCGAGCCGCCTGAATCCCGGAGTGAAAGGACGTGAGGACTCTCTGAACTAGCTCCGGCAGCTCCCCTTCTGGGCAAGGGTGGCTGCTGGGGTTTCGGGTGTGATGGGAGGCAAATCCCCTTCACCATCCGCAGCCCCCATATCAAAGGGAAGATGGGAAGAAAGAAGAAAAGGTGGGGAACAGGAGTCAGGAATCAAAAGGAGACAAGAGCTTCTGCTCTCCTGGAAAAGAGAGGCCCATGGCCCCATGCCCTTGGGCTTTAGAACAGCTCCAGGGCTCACCTCAGCCCTCTTTCTGGTAGAGGTTCTTTAGGGGGTCACTTCCCCAGAAGACAACTGGCTCCTAAAAGGTCCTCCAGACTCAGGCTTGCAGGAAGGGCCCCCTGCCACCCCGTCGTACCTGTGCCACCGGATGGTGCTCCAACCTCCTCCTGCACCAGGGGGATGGTGGAAGCCTCCTTCTCCCACTGCAGCGGAGGCCTGGCCGTCACCGATCTGCTCTTGATCCGGAGGCTATACTGGCGAGCCAGCTGGTAGACCTTGTTCTTGACTCGCTCGCTCACGTGGCTATCCATCACGTGGGAGAGCTGCAGGATGTGGGGGTGCAGTGGGGTCACCAGCTTCCCCTGGGCGTCACTGCTCAGCTCCCTCACCAGCTCCTTCAGCTCCCGGGCCAGGTGGGTGGGGCTGCGGGGCTCGGTGGGGGAGGCGCTCTCTGGGGAGGCAGCCGCCGACTCCTCGGTGATGGCCGCCAGTTCGTGCTCCTCCAGGATAAACAGGGGCTCCTGCAGGTCAAAGCCGTTGGCCTGGCCTTGGCCCGGCCCCTTCGGAGGGCTGACCTTGGGAGACTCCATTCCTTCCCAGATCTTTACCATTTCCGAGGACGGGCGGAACTCAGCATCTGTGATAGGAGCTGGGTCCCCAGCGCCAGCCTGGCCTGGTTCTGGGCAGTCAAAGAGGGCTGCCCGAGAGCCCACCTGTCTCTTATGCCCCAGGGGAGCCTGTGGCTCCGGGTCTGGCTTGCGAAGGCTATTGATTCTGGAGACCGAGTTTCTCACGAGCCCTTTGGGGATGAAGGAGAGGCTCTCCCGGCGCCGGACGCTAAAGCCTGCATCTTGGTGCTCTGCATTTTCGTAGTACCTCTTGATTCTGTCCAGCAACTGCCGGTCTTGGGAGGAAAGTTTCGATTCCTTCGGGCAGGAAGACCTGTCTGGCTCCACTGGGCAGCCTGGGCCCAGGGCCTCCATCCCATTGACAGAAGGTTCGCTCTCTGCGGCCATCCCCACACTGAGGTCCGCTTCTGGAAGGAGCTGAGAGCCCAGGGAGTCTGTGGTGCTGCCCCGCAGGGCTGGGCCCTTCTCACCATCCTCTAGACTGACCATACTGTTGCTCCTGCTGGTCAGCCTTGGGGTCCCAAAGCCACTGGACTTCCCATCCTCCAGGGCCAGGCTGCTCCGCCGAGAGACACTGCTGACGAACAGCTCGGCAATGACGCTGGCCTGGTCCAGCACGGAGGGAGGCAGGAGGCTCTCAGGCTCGTGGGGGGCCCCCACCTCCTCCTCCTCGTCCTCGCTGCTCAGGGCCTTAGGGTCCTCGGTGCTCTCCGCCACCAGGAACTCTGCCATGTCATCGGGGGGTTCCAGCCCGAGCAGCAGCTGGTGGGGGTCAAGTTGCATTTCGAGGACCTCGGGGGCCTCTGTGTCTGAGGGCATCTCTTCGGTGCTGGGACCTTCCACAGCAGCAAACACCTCCTGTTCGGTCCCAGACTCGGTGTCTGGCTCAACCTGAGACAGCACAAAGGGCTCGCATGAGACAAAAACCTCCCTCATGGGAGCCGTGGAATGTGGGGAC